ATAGCGAGCTGAAGCCCATTGTGCCACATTATTTACGAGAAGTCTATGAACATAATATCCTCTCAAACCATTTGGCAATTTTTCACGATTTTCATAGAGTTTTGGCGACTGGGGTTTTTTCCCCACTCGCTGTTCTTCACGATTTTCAGAAAAAAGTATGTCTCGCTGTGCTTCGCTCAAAAGTTCTTGTGTGCTTTGGTTCCTAAACCAGTCTTTAGGAACCTTAGTATCTGGAGCAAAACATGCTGTCAAAATACTTTGCATCTGGTACATATCGTCTTTGACCGAACGAATGAGACGGAGTTGTTTGTTATACTGAACCCACTCATATTCTTCATTTATAGCTTCATGGACTATAACTGTTGTTGTGTTCTCTGTTGTTGACATATCTGTCTTTACATTCCGGATAAAAAAATAAAAAAAAAATAAAACTAACTTTATTTTTTCTATCTTATGAAAATTCATGAAATTTGGTCATTTTTCAGCAAAAATATATTTTATGTGAAGCCCATTGTGCCACATTATTTACGAGAAGTCTATGAACATAATATCCTCTCAAACCATTTGGCAATTTTTCACGATTTTCATAGAGTTTTGGCGACTGGGGTTTTTCTCCCACTCGCTGTTCTTCACGATTTTCATAGAGTTTTGGCGACTGGGGTTTTTTACGTACTCGCTGTTCTTCACTGTTTTCATACGGAATCTCGTTCCTCGATTTTTCGAGGGACGCAAACATATGAGGAAATTCATGAATTTTGGTCATTTTTCGGCAAAAATATATTTTAGGTGAAGAGGTGAGATCTCACCCGTTTTTTCACCTAATTTTTCACCTCAGTTATTTTATAAACGTTTTACATGGTAAACGTTATTTTCTATCTTGTATAAAAGACCAAAAATAAACGCTTTACATGTATTTTTCAGCAACTTCGTCAAATAATTTTATAGCTTTGTCGATCTCATCTACTTCAAACGTTTCTTTACCTTTCGTGGGAGCACCATACATCTTCTCAAACTTTTCAAGTAGTTCTGTTTCAGCAGCTCTCATATCGTTAACAAACGCAACCTTAACTCTATTGACTATACTGTCATATCTTTGAGTTATATTAAATGTTCTTCCTATCTTATATCTCTTTGTATTGAAGTCCTTCGGTTTCTGAACGATGTAAAGTAAGCCTTCACTGCAACGTTCAGTATCGAATGAACCATATGTTATGAAATTATATCCAACAACCGGGTCAATCCAGAACAAAACTACTGGTATAAGACTTTTGTCTATAAGATATGCTCTTGTTCCATAGAATCTTACCGATATCATAAGCTCAGGATTTTTTGTCAAAATTTTCTGAGTAGAAGCATTTCTAACCCAGTCGTGGGATGTTTTCTTTTCAGATAGTGTTAAAATGTCTGACAAAGAATATTTTTTGTATTTCTTTGAGTATCTTACGTTTAAATCACCTATTCTAACCACCTTGGTCTCATTGTCTATCTTTTTAACTGTTTCAAACTCAATGTTTAACATTTGCTGTCTTTACATACAAAATAAAAAAAAATATTTTAAAAAAACTAACGTTAATTTTATTTTTTCTATCTTGTATAAAAGATATGATTTCATAGAGTTTTTTGACGATTTTCATAGAGTTTTGGCGACTGGGGTTTTTCTCCCACTCGCTGTTCTTCACGATTTTCATGTGTTTTAGGCGAGTACGGTTTCTACCGTAGTCGCATTTTTTCACTGTTTTCATGTGTTTTAGGCGACCAGGTTTTTTTCCCTACTCGCAATTTTTCACTGTTTTCATGTGTTTTAGGCGACCCCTGTAAAAATCGGGGTCGCATTTTTTTACGATTTTCATGAGTTTTATGCAAGGCCGGAAAAAGTCGGGGTAGCATTTTTTCCACGATTTTCATAGAATTTTTTTACGATTTTCGTACGGAATCTCGACCCGCGGTTTTCTACCGGTCGCAAACATATGAGGAAATTCATGAAATTTGGTCATTTTACTCAGCAAAAATATATTTTAGGTAACCAGGTCACTCGGTCACTCGGTTAAATGAACTTCTCTGAAAAAGTGTGACAACATGACATTTTGACAACAACACAGGAAATAGACTTCATCGTATATGTCCTACCATGATTTCATCGTAAATGAGCGTAAATCAGACAAAAATATATTTTAGGTGAAGTGGCTCAACCTCAAAACAAGCATTTTGTGAAGAATATACCAACCCGCGGAATTCCGGCGGTTGCTTTTTATACAAAGTTCAACAGGTGAAAGAATACGATGAAGTTAAGATTTTATCGTCAATGAGCGTAAATCAGACAAAAATATATTTTAGGGTAGAAGGGTATATCTACCCCGTTTTCTAACCACTTTTCTAACATCGAAGAATTTTGTGCTGAATTCAGCAAAAATATAATTTAGGTGAAGAGGTGAGATCTCACCTGTTTTTTCACCTAATTTTTCACCTGTTTTTTTCACAAGCGTTTTACATGGTAAACGTTATTTTTTAAATTTTGTGAAAACTCAACGGTTTGACACAAGCCCTAAAAATTATTTTACTCAGAATTTTGTTGCTGAATTCAGTAAAAATAATGTTTAGGTGAAGATGTGAGATCTCACCCATTTTTTCACCCGTTTTCTCACCTGTTATTTTATAAGCGTTTTACATGAATTGTACGATGTATATTTGAAATCCTAAACAGTTTTGTAGCTTCTATTTCTTCGCTGAGGATATCGAATGTTTTAACAATGCCGAAAGTTTCTTTATATTTCTTCTTGACATCTGAAAGAAGGAAATCGTCAGCTGTTGGATAGTTTTTGTTCAGAAATGCTAACATGTCCATTTTATCTTCTGCTGGTTTCTCTGCTTCTTTCTTTAAGTCAGCATAGTCGTTTCGCATACGTTCTATCTCTTTGACAGAATAGTTATATTTCCTCATTGCTGCTTTACATTTAGAACATTGCGGGTTCATTTTTGCGTTATATTCTGAAACCTTACCTGCTAAAACAACCAAGGCGTCAATGGTTTTCTTAAATTCAAAACATGCAGGTCTAATTTGTTCATTCCATATTTTACCTCTTCTATCTTTATCTCTTATCTGCCATACACATTCAGCAACTAACGAAACAAAGTTGTCGTAGGTCTTAAATTCTTCAGATTTATATATGTCAGAAACATTCTTATATACCATATCGCAATCTTTGTCCATAACCTTATGGTTGCAATGAAAACCAAGGAATTCATAGTTTACCTTACGAATGAACTTCTTTATTTCTACTGAGTCAGTTGGTTTCACTTCAATTTCGTCGAATTCAGGAATAGTGAGTTTTTGTTGTTGTATTTCAGGAAGTTTAGGTAAATGGTCAATAATATCCTGCATTTCATAAAGATACTGTTCATTTGTTTCATCTTTCGCACTACAGTCTAAATTACTTGTTAAAAGTTCTTGCTTTATCTTCTGGATTTCTGTTTCAAAAGTATATGAAGAAGGAATGAAGCTTTTCATTTCTACTAACATTGAAGTTGGGTTCATAACTAAAGAGTTTGGTGCTGTTGTTGCTAACATGTTCTTACAATAAAAATAAAAAATATTTTTTAAATAAAACTAACTTTATTTTTTCTATCTTAAGGAAATTCTGTATAAAATTCATGAGGTGAGAAAACAGGTGAAAAAACGGGTGAGATCTCACCTCTTCACCTAAACATTATTTTTGCTGAAAAATGACCAAATTTCATGAAAATTCAAGAGGTGAGAAAAGAGGTGAGAAAACAGGTGAGATCTCACCTCTTCACCTAAACATTATTTTTGGTGTAAATTTATGACAAAAATAAATGGTACCATTAATGATATCATGACTGTTCTCGTTCATGTCTGATTTACATCTAATGAAAAAGTTTAGAAGAATTTTCTTATTCTTTCTGGCATATTTTTGTCTTTCCAGTACTCCCGCTCTAATGGTCCCAGATGTGTTGGCTTCGACTCTCTCAAGTTCTTAGATGGTATAACATCTTCAACGCCTCCTTCATATCTTACTTTATAAGTGTCATCGTTTATGTTATAGTCAAGTATTTCAATAACCACTCCTCGCTTTGCTTCGTCAATGGTTTCAGCAAGTTTGCCATTACTACTTTCAACTAATTTATGTCGAGGGTAAAACGCAATAGAGTCGTCAGCAGCTTTTATAAGATATCCATTACCTTGCGTAGAGTCTACGATATAATAATTTCGACTTAACCTTAAACGTTTCTTTGTCAACGGTTTGTCGTCAAGAACTACACGAACTTTTGTACCAGGAATGAGGGTAAATTGTGTTGAATTTCTGATATTTTGTGTTTGGCTTCGTTTCTTTTGTATATACTTTTCTTCTTGTTGTTGTGTCATTGAATTTGGTGTATGTCCTGTTGTAGAATGTGTTGAGGAATTGTAAACTTCGATGAAATGTTTCATTGTTTCTTCGGTAAAGTCTCGCTCTTGGTTTAAATCTCTGAGAGTCCTTATGAAGCGGTTTATGATGCCGAGTATGTTATGGTTATGGTCTTCAGTAGTGTAGTGAGTTATGTTATGCTTAATAAGAAAATCTGTGATTTCATTGCTGAGGTATGCACTGTCTTGGTCTGATGTTAAAGTACTTGGGCTATGTTCTGCTACAAACTTTTGTAAAACTCTTAACACTTCACGAGTTCCTTTATTTTTCATTGGATATGCATATGCTTTACGAGTGTTAACATTAATGAAGATGAGGAATGGTTTATGTCCTCCTTTTCTGCTTTGAATGAGAGTGTCAAATTGGTATGCGTCAGGAGTGTTGGAGTAAATTGGTAAAAAGTAGTCGTAAGGGTTTATTTTTGTTTGATGTACAACATTTTTGTCAAAGAACCTTTTCACTTCAGCTCTGTTAGTAAATCCCCAACTCTTTGCAGCTTCATTGAACTTCTTAAATGACCTCCATGGATGTTGTTCGAATACTTCTTTCAAGCTCATTTATGTAAAGTTAAAGAGTTTAACCAACTCGTATCCAAGCGTGCATTGTTATATAAGGAGGCATATAATCTTTTCCATTACCTGCTGGGTCTGTAATACCAGCTACAACATGTGTATGATTTCCTGCAGTTCCACAGAAAATACCTGTGCTTGAATCTACTGGGTCAGTTGTGATATCATATCTGTTCATTCCCTGTCTATTCGAACCCGCTGCAAGATTTATATAACCTCTTTTTGTTATTGAATGTGAATGGTTTCCTTCCACAGATGTTCTTCCACTGAACCTATGCATATGTGAAGGAAGGTTTTCAATACCGATTTTCTTTGAACCTCCCATCTTCATTGACTGCGTATTAGTGTAGAATGGAAAACTGTCAACTATTTCATACCATCTACCACCAAATAAAGTGTTTGGATTTATTGGATTCATAGACGTATAAACAGCTCCTATAGGATATATTAAATCATATATGCTCATAACTCTATAAACATATTCTAAAGAACTTATGTCATTAAATACCATTTGGAATGTATCTCCCGGATGAAATGTTGCATTTGTTCCACTTTTATAATGTAATGTTAGTTCAATAGAATTATCCAAGAAAAATTCAAAAGTATCTGGTTGAAGACCTCTAACAAATTCAAATGGAGTTGCTGGTTCACCATTTATAATTTCTGTTGTAAATGTCATTGTATCTGGTTTCGAAAATTTCTTTGTTAGTTCTGCATCCACATAAGTTTTGTCTGCTTTCTTATCTAACATTGCTGGTAGTTCATGTGCTTCAAAGTTTCTGGCATGACCTTCGATATTCATACATTTGTTATTTAAGGAGTTTAGTGTATCTTTTACGCTTGTACTTGGATTCTCTAAAGGTGCACTTGAACCAAGGGTATAGTTCAATATTATGTCGTCTGCTCTAACAGTAGTGAAGGATTTATGTGTATGGTTCTTGTCTGCTTTACTGTCTAATGTAGCTTGAAGTTCATTTATATCGGAGATATTGTGTTTATGAGATTTCAAAACTTTGTTCATTGCTTCAAGTTCAACTTTGTCAGCTTTACTTTTAATAGCATCTTCAAACGTTATTTTTGCCTTAACTCTCAATGTAAATCTTGGTTCAACTAATACACCGTTAACATTGAAAGTAGAGGCATAAATTTCACCGGTATAACCAAATGCTTCTGGTGCTTTAGCTACATCATACTGTACAGTACAGCTTATGTCATAACCTTTAGCACGAATGTATTTATATCTTCTTTCATTAACATTTTTTGTCTTCGCTTCATCACTTCGTGTTAAATATCCATGGTAGTCCGTTATAATCTGTTCGTCTGAAGTTATATAATGAACGTGGTTCTTGTCCGCTTTACTATTTAATGTAGCTTGAAGTTCATTTATATCGGAGATATTGTGTTTATGAGATTTCAAAACTTTGTTCATTGCGTCAAGTTCATTTTTGTCCGCTTTATTATTTAATGTAGCTTGAAGTTCATTTATATCGGAGATATTGTGTTTATGTTCTTTATCTGCTTTTTCGGCTAATTTCTCTTCTATCTCATTTATTTCAAGTTCATGCCTACCACCACCTCCCGAAGAAGTATTTTTCTTCAGCTCTTGAAGAACGTCCACTTCGCCATCTTTGGTGTCAATAATGAGACTTTGAGTTAAAACCTTTCCTGTCTTAATGGATGTTTGTAAAACTTCTTCTTCACCGTGTTCGGGGTCATGGTCGTCATCATATCTTGTGAAATCAGAGATGTTGTCATACATTAAGCATATCTGTCTCAAAAGTTCTGCTATTTGAAACTGGAACGAAAGATATACAGAACTTTCATCATCTCCTAAAGTCAAGTCTGCTTTCTTAAGTATTTCTTGAATGTATGCAATGAGAACAGAGTACCTTGGAAAATATTCGAACAATATTTCATTAGCTGTTGGTTTTGGTGGTTCTTCTGGAGTTTCTGTTGTTTCAGTTCCTTCTGGAGTTTCTGTTGGAGTTTCTGCATCTCTTGACTTCAATGCTCTTGCTCTCAAAGACCTAAATGTTAGAGCACCGGGTTTTACAAAGGACTTTATAAATGCTTTAATAGTTCCTGGTAAGTTATTGTTAGCATTAAGTAAGTTCCTTATGCTTCCATCATGTACGTCCATAGCACTATGTAAAAAATCTATACTTTTCTTGTAGTCAGCAATAGACTGACTGTGATTTTTTAAAGATTTGTCAATACCTTTAAGCCAATCTTCATGCATGTCTGATACTGAGCCAAGAATATCATTTGCTTCCTTTAGTGTATTTTGTGCTTCTCGTAAAGTATCCAATCCCGTACGTGCATTGTTTGCTATACGTCTTACAGTATCTATTTGACTCCTTGTTTCTTGCATCCAACCAGATAAAGTTTTAATAGTATCCGAACCATTTGAAATGAAGTTCAAAGCATTTTTAACGTCATCTAAAGCTTCTTCACCAAGTACTGCCCATATCTTTCCGATTTGGTATTGAAGAACTCCATATGAAGCAGCTGTTAAACCAGTATTTATAAGGTCCCATATCCATGATTTAGCAGTTTTTCCATCCTTTCCATCCTTTCCATCCAAACCGTTTTCGCCTTGAGGTCCTTGTATTCCTTGTATTCCTTGTATTCCTTGTGGTCCTTGTGGTCCTTGTGGTCCGGTGTCACCCTTCTCTCCTTTCAGTTCATCTTTATGTTCGTTATAATATTCTAATGTCATAAGGTGTACATCATTACTGCTACCAGCAACGCCGAGAATTTGTTTCTCATTCATGACTAAATTCTTTAGGCATTTAATGTTGTCGTCAAATCGAAAGCTCTTTAACAATTCAATGAGAACATTCAGTACTTTCACTAATGAGGCATCTACTGTAGAATTTATATATTGCACCGTTCCATCATTTATGATGGGAACCTTGCTTGTTGTAATGAATGGGTCATAAGTGTTAAAAGTATCGAAATCAATGACTTTTTTAGTTTTTCCATCGTCAATGACTAAATCATTGCCTTCAACGGTTAAAGTTGAGTTTTCGTTTACTAATTCGTGTGCTCTTCTTGCTTCATTTGTTTCATACGCATATGCAGCAATAGTCATATTTTAATGAGAATAAAATGTTGTTCTATTTGCAAAGTACAGACCCAAACGAATACGGGACAGTAAAGCTACAAACAAACTTAGGTCTTCAGAATGAAGCGCTTGCTTTCAGAGTTGTTGACTTCAATACTATCGCAACTTTTGTCGTAACAGATGAAACAGATTTCATAGAGATTGAAATAGATGACAAAAGAAGTGTTATAACATTTCCTAACAGAGCCGAGTACAGAATAGATAAAATTGCTGGAGTCATAGATACTCTCATAAATGAAGAAACTATTGACAACATAGATGTCGAACTCTCTTCTGAGGGAACATTGAAGTTCAGTAGCAAGAAAGAGTTCAAGATAACACGAATGAGTCATAGAGTTCAACTTCTTTTAGGAGCATACCATATGACATTTCCTTTGAAAAGTGTTGACAAAACGATTGAGATGAAATCTGTTCCATACGTATGTTATGGCAATTGTTTGTACATTGAGTCTAAAATAGCTAATGTCACAGGCATTTCAGGAGTTAATAGTAAAGGTTCAGTAGAATATAAATCCTTCTGTTATGCAGTCAATTCAATGTTCATTCCAAACGTTCCTGTCATAGCAACTCATTTAGGTAAATGGGTTCGCATAAGCCCTCATAATTTGAAAGACATGCAATTCAGACTAGTTGACTTTCAAGGCGAGCCTGTAGAACTGAAGGCACCAGTGCGAATGACTGTTGAAGTTGACTTTTTAGAAAATATTAAATGCAACAGCTTACAAGAGAACTCAGAGCTAAAAATATAAAGTATGAATGTTATGTATTAGGTCATGAACTTTGGTTGTTGCTGTTTGATGAAACAAATGAGTTAGTTATGTCAGTCAAGAGAACAGAAAAAGGCGTCAAAGGCGCCGAGCGCAAAGCGCTATATTGTGTTAGTGAAAACTGCACCAAGTCAATAAGATTAGGTTTGCATTATGAAGATGAGTTCGATACTGTTGAAGAAGTTTTGGATAGATATTACAAATTGCTTTAATTTACTAAAACATATTTCAAGCAAAGTTTATATTCTGTTGAAAGTTTTGTATACTCGTTCGAATATTTATACTTAAACTCAACTCCTGTAGTTCCTGGTGTTTCAATGATGCGGATGTTACCTATTTTCATGAATAGTGGAGTTTGACCACAGCATTCGATTTCAGGGTCGAGATAGTCAATGACACATTGTTTCCCTGTTATTCGTGAGATAACATTTTCAAGGTCCTCCTTTGTTAGAATTATTTGGTTCTTGCTTATAAGATTTGTCAAAAGCTTCTTATCGTCTTTGAGTAAAATTGTTTGGTATAACTGAAGAAGGTAATGGTCTACGTTATCTGAAGGATTTGTTTGAACATTTGTGTAAGGGTTGTCGTTGGCTTCTCTTGAAAGAATTTGGTCCAGTGGTGGATACTCTAACTTAACATCTGATGTAGCGTTAGCGTTTGAAGCTGAGTTTAAATTCACGGATTTCAGCTCTGGTTCTTTTTCTTTCAAACACTCCGAACTATAGTTCTTTATGACAATATTGTTTGTCGTTCGTGAGTCAACATTTGATGTTGGTTCAATTGGAACATTAACGGCACCAGCTAAGATGGATTTGCTTCTCATTTCATATAGAATAAAAACCTTTTATATGTATGAAATGAACAATATACTCGACAAGGGTTTGAATGTAAAGCTAACGAATGAAAATATTGTTGAATTCACTGAGACAGGAGCTGTGTATAAAGATGTAGAACTACTGAACAAAAGAGCAAAGGGAAGAAGCAGGAATATGAACAAAGGGTGGAAGCCTATAAAAATTTATGTCAATGATGGCTCAGGAGGTTCAAACATAAAGTATGCAGAAAGTTATAGAGTTTATGCTCTCAAAGGTGAAAAGCCTTCATTTAAGAACAGCTATTCTAACGCATATCCTCAAAAGCTAACGGATGGGGAAGTGGATGATATGAATGACAGCAAAAATATTAACAGAAATGGCGACAGAGATGCATGGAATTTGTTTACCATCAGTCAATTGAAGGTTAAGCTTTAAAACAATGTTGGTCGTTCCCATGGAATATTTTTGACTTTAATGGTATTAGTCATGATATGAATCTCAAGGTATGAACGAGGAGAGATGAGAGACTTATATGCTTCCCAAATTTCTTCAAAAGGTAATGTTATACCTGACTGTTTCCAAATGAGTTCAATATCATAACGTGAGAAACCTTGAAAGATAACGAAGTCAGTTATGAGACGTTTTATGTTTAAAGCTAAAAACCTCCATGTTTGCATAAGTATTGCTACAGTTAAATGGTAATGTCTGACTTTAGTTATGATGTTAGCTAATGGTGAGTCAGGCTTTGAACTAAACCTTTTCCGGCGAAGTCGTCGCAAACGAGCAGAGTGTTTGAAGGATATTTTTTGAAGGGGTATTTTGAAAGTTTTGATAGAATGTAGTTTGTCAGTCGTTTCATATCGTAAACTCCTGAGTACTGACGTAAGTGGTGTTTGTCAATAATTCTTTCCATCTCCTCAGAAGTCTTTTGCATTCCTGACTGTATAAATTCAACGATGGCATAATATTTCCTCTTACGTCGAATGTAACGTTGAAGAAATTCAATGAGTTCACTGTCTGGAACTTTAACGACAGAGGCTTGAACTTTTGACATAAATGTTTTCGCTGTTGAATCCATAGAGTCTGAAGTTGCTGATATAATGATTTGGTCATAATATGAGTCGTTTCCTAAACGTTCTGTTATGAGTATATGACGAATGAGGTTGAATGTCTTTCCTGAACCCATCTTTCCACAATAGAAATACACACCATTTGAACAGAATTCATAATCTTTGCTGAAAGGAAGAATAAGAGAAGAGTTAAGTTTGTCTGTAGTTTCATTCATGTCTTCATCTACGTCATGTATTAAATGCTTCATTTTATCTCCATTAAAAATGCAAGTCAGAAATATTCAGAACATAGCACCGAGTCTAACTGACAAGAGTATAAAGATATACTATGAACATGTTATGATGAAACCAACCAAAATTCAAGAAAGTCAGTATACTTATGAATATCCAAGACACTGGGTAGAGTATGTAGGAGGTGAGAAAGCTATTGAAATCAGACAGGTTCGAAGTATTCCAGCAGGAAGAACAATATTATTGAAGAACTTTAATGTTTTGAGATATAATGATGAAACAAAGAAGCAAGATAGTTTCCCTGTTGCTGTGTATGTGAACTTAGATACAGGAGATGACATGAAAGTTTTTAACACAAAGCTTCAAACGGTAGTGAGAGAACAACTGACTGCGGAAGGCATCCATTACCTTCAGAAGTTACCATAGCATATAATTTTGAAACAAACTCAATAGATTTTAAAGTCGTCTCTGCAAAGAAGTCAGGTTTTACATTTAATGAAGCAGATGTATATTCGAATGAAAACTTCAAAGCTATTGCATGGTTAGATAATGACGATTGCTTTAAGAAAATATTTAAATTCAGTGACTCAAGATGTCAATAGATGACCTTCGTGGAATGTTACCATCGACGTTTACAGTAGAAGGTTCAGCAGGATTGCTTACAAGATTGTCAATTGGTGGTATTTGGTCTCGTGAGAACATTGTTATAAAATCCAGTATAAGTGAATTTGCTGAAGAATCTATATTATGTCTTTCAAACTATATGTATTCGCCGCCGAAGCATTATAGTATAACAAACTTTGTCAGTAAGTTTAACATAAGACTTGTCGAACCTTCTTCAATGAAAGATGTTGTGCTACCAAAGATGGAAAGGATGGACTCATTATTGAGATTTAATTGCATATTAAATGAGCTTGTTTTGAAGGTCATTCATGATGAAATAACTGTTGTAGAAGATGTTAGCAATTGTTCAGACATTTTGAAGCGTATAGATGATATAAGAAATAAGTTAGATAGACCGCAAAGCGGTGAGGGCGAAGCCCGTGAGAACGCTTATGTTTCATTGACTTTCTCCAGTAACGAGAACTTTTATGAGATAATATTGAAGAGAGATGATTTTAATATGGTGTAAATGGTAGCTTGGGCAGCTTTAGGCGCAATGGGAACAAAAGCATTAGCATTTGGAGCAAAAGCACTTGGAGCTTATGACGCAGTAAATAAAATGAGTGGAGGAAGGGTTTCGAAGACATTAGATGCAAATAAAGGAAAGATTGGAGGCTGGGTTGCAAAGAAGTTAAGATTAAATAAAATAGGGCTCATAAATAAAGCATCCAATTTGGTTGCGACTGAGTCAGAAAATGCTTTAGGAAAGGACGATGAGTTTGCAAAACACGCAAAAGACTTTAATGACCAGATGAAAGGTGAAACAATGCATTTAAATAGAGTCGATGGAACTAAAGAAAATGTTTCTTCTCCACCAGTAGTTCTTCCGTATGGTCCCTATGGAATGTATGGAAACCCTTACGAAAGACCATTTGACCCATTGACTGGTGGAAGTAACTGGTATCATTACGGACGAAGAAGAAAGACAGTCAAGTTGGAGACAGACGTGAAGAAAGCAACTAAAAAGAAACCAAGGAAGAGAGTTATAAAGCAATGAATTCAACAGGGTGAAAAAACAGGTGAAAAAAGAGGTGAGATCTCACCACTTCACCTAAATTTATTTTTGTGCTATGTTTTCATACGTGTGAGGGTGGTGATATCATTAATTTTTAAGTTTATTTTTTATTTTTACTGAAAATTTTTATTTGGATGTAAATGACAGAACAAAAGCAACTCATTCGAATTCCACAGTATAACAAACATACATTTAAACATTTATTCTTCCTTCCTGAGCATAACATGTTCTTTCAAATACATCCGAGACCAGTTGACTTTTCATTGACTGTGTATAAAGATAGAAATAGTTATATCATTAAACCATACGATGACGAAGGTAAGTTATGTAAATTGTACGTTAAGAAGTTAGAGAAAGTTTATGGCTTCAAGTATGACTACAATAGGGTTAACACTGATGATAAAGATATTGAGGAAAATTTATGAGAACATTAGTGAAGTCGTTAGTGAGAACGATAGTGAGAACGTTTATTTTTTACATTAGTGAGTTCGTTAGTGAAGTGAAGTGGTTGGCGGCTTTGTAAAGTGTCAAATTCACAAGTATTGGGTAAGGTGGAACGCAGTGCCACAGTACCCAACTTAACCATACTAACTGATGGTATGTTATAAACTTGGTGGAAAGTATGAATGTTCTACGTTAAACCTCAATAATATTGGAACATTACTACATCAGCTCTTGAAGGAGAACTTTATATCAGAGATAGAAGCAAATGCTGCAGGTATTGTTGAAATGCACTATGACTTCTTCTTGACAAACATAAAGAATCTTACCGAAATAAAGATGTATGATTTAACAGAATATGAAGGCTTAACGATGTCAGATGTAAAGAAAGGCAAACCAAAAAAGAGACCATATAGAGATGAAAGCACACTGACAAATGACCAGAAAGCCATTTTGGAAGCTCTTAAGCAAACAGGAAACCCAGCACTTATAGAAAGCTTTTGGAAAGATAATGGTGAAAAGAAGTTTTATAAGAGAGAAGCGGTCAGTTCTGGAAGTATCTTTGCACATTACCTATAAATCTTGAACGCTACCAAATCTTCAATGAACTGAACAAAAGAACTGCAACACTTATGACAGAGGACAATTGTTTCGTTTATGCTTGCATTCAGGCTGGAGTAAATGAAGAAACTATTGACCACATGAGAGAAGTCATTCGTGTTAGAGACTTTCCTCAAAGTAAAGTACAAGAAATTTCTGACGCAACAGGTATAGCATTTAATGTTACCATTGGTTATTTCAATAACTCAAGACATAATGAAATAAAGAGATATATACCAAAAGAATGTGAAACTGTTCGAACTATTGACTTACTTCTTGTTGAAGACCACTACATGCTAAACGAAAGATTACCTATGACAACATATTTCATTCGCAACTATATAGAAATCTTGAAGGAATGTGGTGGAATGAACATTGAGAAACAAATGAAGATTTATACAAAGAGAGAGAACAAATATGTAGTTCGTTATGATAGAACAACACCGTTATGGGATGTTATGAAACAATTGTGGGAGTGCAAATATTTCGAACCTATTTCTTATGGAGAACTTTTCACATATACGACTGACTTATATAAACAGAACCTTGCATCATTTAAAGATTTGACATATGCTCCAAAGTATTGTGTACAACTGAAGAAGAAAGCCGAGTCAAAAGAAGTAAATAAAAATAAGTGCAAGTTCATTCCTGAGCACGTTTTCTTTGCTGGCTTTGAGTGTAGCACAGACGGCTTTCATAAAGCTTTTAACATCTGTTATGACAGTGAAGATGGTTCAGTGAGTGAAAGCATATGGGGTCAAAACTGTGCAACAGAATTTTTGGAACGACTTCCTGACAAGAGTTTAGTATATTTTCACAACCTCAGCTATGATATAAACTTCATCTTAAGACACATGACAGAAGTGAAAGGAACTCCCATCATTAAAGGTTCACGAACAATGCAAATAACTGGCTTATATAAAGGAAGGGCAATTATTATAAAAGACTCTTACAGTGTTATAAATAAGAAGCTTAAACTATTTCCTGTTATGTTTAACTTACAAACAGGACCGAAAGAAGTATTTCCATACAACTACTACAGCAGTGTTTTGTTAGCAAATGACAACAGAACTGGTGTCATTTCTGAAGCATGTAAGTTTATCCGGGATGCGGATACGTTCATGAAAAACATAGATTCCATCAAAGGTTGCAGAATAGATGAAAATCACTTCGACTTAGAAAAGTATAACACATTTTATTGCAAACAAGATGTAAGAATTTTAAGAGGAGGTTTTGTTAAGTTCCGCAATGACATATTGAAAGAATTTGATTTAAACGTTTATGACTACGTTAGTATTTGTTCAATTGCTAACAAATTATTTGAGAACAGAGTGTACTTCCCGAATGGAAATTTATATGACCTCTCAAATAAACCAAGAGAGTTTATTTCGAGATGCATTCAAGGTGGAAGATGTATGTTGTCAGATAACATTAAACAAAAGAGCGAAAAGAAACTCATTGCTGATTTCGACGCTGTTTCATTATATCCATCAGCTATAGCAAGACTTTATACTTTAGAAGGTATTCCAAAGGTTATGAAGAAAGAAATGTTAAGCACAGAGTATCTCATGAGACATTTATTCGATGACGACCAAAAGGAACCCATTGGTGAAAAGTTTATGTCTGGCTCTTTGTTCTCATTAAGATAACAGAGATTGGAATACATAGACACTTTCCTTTAATAGTTTGTGACCCTGAACAAAAATCCAGAACTTAACGTTCCCAGAAGTTCAAACACTTGCTTTAATGTATGTTGACCATATAACATTACAAGACCTCATAAAATATCAAGGTGTCAAATGTGAAGTGTTGCAAGGATACTATTACGATGGAAACAGAGATATTAGAATAAGAGATGAAGTAAAGAAGTTGTTTGAGTTAAGGTTAAAGTATAAGAAAGAAGGAAATCCTTTGCAAGAAAATATAAAGCTCATTCTGAACAGTATTTATGGCAAAAACTATTCTATCTCCTATTGAGTCAAAAATAACCATAGTAAATGACAAAGATGCTATAAGATATGCCATCAGAAACTACAACCATATAGTGAAGTTCGAAGGTTTGGATGGTTCAGATAAAACTATTTTCAAGCTAACGAAAAGCATTTGCAGACACTTTAACTTCTGTCCACTTGGTGTTAACATTCTGTCTATGTCGAAGAGAATAATGTGTGAAGTATTCTGTACTGCTGAAGATATGGGACTTCAAATTTTCTACCAGGACTGTGATAGCATGCATATTTTCAATGAAGACATACCAAAGCTCGCAGCAGAATTTAAGAAGAGATACGGTAGAGAACTTATTGGTAAAACATTAGGTCAATTTCATTCTGACTTCGCAGAAATAACACCTGGAAAACAAAGTTTAGCATACAAGTCAATATTTTGTGGAAAGAAGACCTACATAGACTTACTCACTCACGATTTAAATGAAGTTGCATTCCATGCACGTTGCAATGGTGTCAAACAAGACGTCCTTGCTTTAACAGCAAATGAAATGTTTCCTGACTCTGTTCAGTGTTTCTATGATGAAGATAAAGGTTTAATGGTTCCGCAAGGAAAATTTGACAAAGACTCTGAGTTCAGTGTTATGAAGTTATATAAAGCACTTTATGACGGTCAAGAGATTGGATTTGACTTATGTGAGTCTTCTAGTCCTTGCTTTGCTGAAAAGTTTAACTTTTCTATTCAGACTAAGACTTCATTCATAAGAAAGCTTAAGTTCTGAGGTCATGAATGAGAAAAATAATGAGGTCATTTATTTTTTGTCAGCAGTGAGACCATTCATGATAAAAATAAGCCGCTAGCGGCAAGGGCGAAGCCCATGTTGTCATTTACAATACTGCGATGGTAGAGTTTAAGAGTTGTGCTTCAATGTAGAGACAGTCCTTATGGTCTGGAGGTAAGAACACTGGGCAGTTATGGTCATGAGTGGAGAACATGTCTATCCAAAACTCACGATTGAAGCCAGTTAATTTATAGTATTTAGGGTTAGGAAGTGGTGAAGTTCTTGTATGACCAATGAACTCATTTTCAACTCCCTTACTTAAGTTTGAATATAATATAGCTTGTTTTCTATCCCAAATGCCAGGTGTTACAATCTTTGAAAATTCATTTTTCCTCGGAAGCATTGCATCATAATTGAAAACATTTTTGAAGTCTTCATTGGGTTCAGAGATTTGAAATCTTATACGTAATGGATTTTCTTTCTCTTTAGCTACTTCATTGAATGGTGAATATATAACAAACTGACAGTCATGAGTTCCATCTTCATTTTCATTAAATTCATAATGAAAGTCTATAAGTTGTGGCTGACTACCTTCTTCTTTTCAGTTGTGCAAGAAACTCACGTAAAGGCTGTAAAGTTTGTACTTCAATGTTGAACTTTTTCTCGAACATTTCATTAAATGAAATCATACATTGTTGCAATGTTGTATCGTCTTTAAAGTATTTGTATATGTGAATGTTTTGGGCGCTTAAAGACTGTTCGTCATTTTCTATCTCGACTTGAAGTATAAAGTCAACCTTTCTGAAAGCACGTGTTATATACATAGATGTTATGCCAATGTACTTCTCTTCATTTATGTTCACAATCCAGTCTGTTGGAAACTTAAACGTTACTCTGTTCCCCTTTATTTTGACGTCAGGGTTTTCACTACTGAACGCAACAGATAAAGGTATTTGTCTATACATTTAGTTCCGATAAAAATAACCCATTTACTCTTTCTTTGCTTCAGCTTCTTTAGCTTTTGCTTCAGCTTCTTCTCTAGCTTTCTTCGCCAGCAAACGTGGGTTCTTTTGTCTTCCAGCAGCTAATGCAGCAAGTTGTTTTTCACTAAGTTTTCTCTTTGGTCTCTCTGGCTTTTGTTCTTGTTTTTGTTCCTTCAGTTCGGATAAAATTTGCTCACGAATTTCTTTCTTCAATGCTTCAACATCTATGACCCCTTGGGTCTTGTCCGTAGGGCTTGTCTGAGTCATTTGACTGCAGATAAAAAACAAAATTAAAACTTTAACCGATGTAAAATGAGCTTGTCAAAATCAGAGCGAGAGTCTATTATATTAAATGACGCAAGAGGAATACAACATCCTTTCTATTACGTAAGTCAGAGTAAAGATGGTAAAATATACGTAAGAAAAAGAAAGGTTCCATTAGCGAATGCAGAAAGCGACAACATTAAGGTGCATGGCACCGAGGGCGAAGCCCATATAAAACCTTCTGTTCAAACTGAGCCACCAATAGAACCAGAAGAAAAGAAGCCAGATGTACTTTCAATAACGAACCAAGAGCTTATTGCAAAGTTCGTGAATTTCATTGAAAAACAAACCGAGTCAAAGAATCCTGACCCGCCAGTGAAAGAAGTTGAGACAAAAGAGAATGTACAGTTCATTGAAAATGTCAAGAAACAACTTCCACCACGAATGCCAAGAAGAAGAGTGAGAATAATGAAAGTAAATAGATATTTTTATCTGAAGTAAATACATGCAGAACGAACAGCTAAACGAATTTACTCCAGCAGAGCATATTCATCAGATTCGCTCATATTTCGATATCATAGACAATGCAGTTCAAATTGGTGACACTAATAGAAAATATTCTGACGCAAAGATTCCATCACAACCTGGAACTGCTAAAGATAACACATGGGTAACATTCAATCTCTCACCTCCTGGTGAAAATATGTTGGACCTTTACAATACATTCATTACGTATAAAATGGAAGGTCAATTTATTGTAGATAAAGAAATTGGTTCAGGTTCCAATAAAAACAAACCCACCAGAATTTTGGATTGGTTTTCGATGACGCTTTCTATGCAGTTGCTGGATATCAAATCCTTGCAAATGGTCGTATCGTATATTCTCAAGACAACGCAAGAGAAGAAGCATATATAACTTCAAACTCACAAACTACCGAACAAATAAAGAAAGTAGATGTTTTCTCAAAGACTCGACATGAAGATGTATGGAGTCATTCGGGAACATGCAGAATAGGACAAATTGTTAGTGGGCCGATTACAGCAGGAAAATCATTTGATTTTAAGCTTCGTTTAAGAATTCCTGTTAGAAGATTCCTTCCATTAGAAGCTATTCGATTTATTCCAGCTTTTGCAGGAAACATTCAGCTTAAAGTAAAGTTCAGTAGCGACGCCTTACAATGCACATCTATATCTGTAAATGATATCATTGCTTTCAATCCAACTCTTAAAGTTGCATTTGCTTCAGATTCAAATCCACCGACAAATAAATTTGTTCCATGGAATGAACCATTCACTATGATAACGAAGGCAGTAGAAGCTAGTGGAACAGTTACTATTACAACTGTAACCCAGAAACTATTTCGAACAAAGATGGATTTTAATGAATGTTTCATTCATCCAAAGTCATTCTCTTTAGACCCTAACATTTATACAGAACTTGTAGAACATTATACAAACGAGGCTTTATGTTTTCCTGTTAAAGTTATGGATTGGATTCCTATGGACGGTTCATTCTCAAAGAATACAGATAGTTCAAGTGCAACATTTACAGCAGCTTATACGCCTATTAATGTTAAAAGTATTTGGGCACTATTTAGAAAGAAAGACAACTATTATGTTAATTTTGAGAACCCTAAGTTTAAATATAGGGTGTCCAAAGGTGCGTTTAGCACAGCGCTCTATATGAGACTATTAAAGGAGATATATGCTGATTATAAATATATAATAAAAAATATGAATATATGTATATGATGAGTATGTTGTATTTTGGCGCCATGCAGGGATATAAAATGAATTTTGAGACAAGAGGCGGTTTCGCGGGAAATTTTGGCGGGATTTTTTTTCATTTTTTTAATGAATCATAAAGAAAACATCCTCGCTCTTGCAAAAAAATGCAAAGACTGTAAAAAATCTACGAGACATTGGTAAAATGCTTCGGTATGGATGCTCCTAGCTATTCCACTGTAACGTATCATGTTAGGATGTATCACTTCATGAACAAAAAGGCGCCCATCATAAAAATTGACAAAAAATCGCCGGATCAAAGAAAAATCAAAGCAATTCTTCAAGCGCTAGATGAAGACCCAAGAGCATCACTCAGAAGGATAGAGGAGATGACAAAGATACCACGTACAACAGTCAGTTATTATCTGCACAATTATTTGAACTACAAACTAGCGTATACACGTTGGGTTCCGCACAACCTTAATTCAGTTCAAAAAAAATCTAGAGTCCAATCTTCGAAAGAGCTCCTCTCTATATTGCGTGCGTATCAATCCAAGAAGTTTCGCTTTTTAGTAACAGGGGACGAGTCTTGGTTTCAATATGCAACAGAAGCCAAAATCATGTGGATCCCGAAGGATGAAAATCCGCAAACATTCCCGAAGAAAAAAATTGACACACCAATGATGATGTTGTCGGTTTTTTGGGGCGTGAATGGCATCATCGCAATTGATATTCTTCAAAAACCTAATACGATGAATGCTCAGTATCTAATTGACAATGTTCTTACTCAAATTATCAATTCTGATGAGTTTGAGAAATCCAAACAACAAAAACAAAAGTTTGCAATTCATTTTGATAATTCAAGAGTTCACAAAAGTCATAAGGTAATGAATTACTTGGTGGAAAACAATGTCAAAGTTGTTCCAAACCCAATTTATTCACCTGATATTGCACCCTCTGACTTTTATTTATTTCGGCACGCTAAAAAAGAGAGCTGAAGGACGCGAATTCGCGAGTCCAGATGATCTTGAAAATTTTGTAAGAGAGCAATTTGAGCAATTTTCTCATGATGATTTAAAGCGTGTCTTTCAAGCCTGGATCGATCGCTGCGAACGCGTGATTGAATCCAATGGTGATTATATTTAAATAAACTTTATATATATGTAACTTGTTTATTTCTATTCGCAGTATTCAGGTTTGTGCTAAACACACCTTTGGACACCCTATATCTTCAGCTTTCCATGGGAGCTTATGGAAATATGCCTGCAGAACCTGAAAAATCATACGGCCCTGTATTTTATGAAATGGTTGCGAACGCTTGCAATACAAACAATGATATGATAGGATTTAATGAAGATGTTATGAGGTCATTGGTGGATGATGGTAGTGTGGAACATAAATGGGATAGCTATGACAACACACATTTCTTATGTGGTTTTCCAACAGAAGTGGACTTTTGCTTCATGCAGGGTCAAACATCTACTGCTCCAATAACATACAAATTGACTGTTAAAGGACCTATTGAACTAGCAACTGAAAATGTACCAAAGCCACTTATTGGATTTATGATGGATTGTTGCTTTGCCATTCAGGTGCGTGCTAATGGAATCCCAATAATAAGATTAGATGACTATAACTTAGCTGCGGACGACAGTGAGGAATAAAGGATGAACGTTTATTTTTAAAGCTTATAAATGAGTTCTTCATCAAGCTCTCGCGAACCTTCACCATCTATGAAACAAACTTTACCAAACGATTATGGAGCACCTATTGAATATTTCTTACGAGCTGCACAATGGCAAAGAGCAGTCTCACCAAGGTTAGGTGTTCCACCAGCTCCTGTCAAAAATAGCATTTGGTCAAGTCCTTATATAAGATATGGTCTCCCACTAGGTTTGCTAGCTACAGCAGTAGCAGTTATGATGTTGAAAAGAAATAAAGCAAATGTTGTAAATAATACTGAAGTAGTTGAAGTTAAACAAACTCCAACACCTTCGCCAAAACAACGTCAAAACCAACGCCTTCACAAACAACACCTTCAATGACTCCTGAACCTATGGAAGTACAAACTCCTGTTCAAAAGTCAACTCCTAAACCGACTCCAACATTTAAACCAGAACCTACTTCTCAAATAAATCGTAAAACTCCTGCGTTTCCTTACTGAAAAAATAACGTTATTTTTATTTAATATTAAAATTTTTATTTGATTGAAATGACGACTAAAGTCACTGAAGCAATGAAACAAAAGTTTTTGGTAGAATACATTAAATCAGGAACTATTCCAGAAGGTTTTTACATTCATCAAATGAAAGATGGTAGAGTTCAGTTTAGAAAGATAAAGCAACCATTAGATAAAGAAGGAATTTTGAGAAAGATTAAACTTCATGAGGACAACATTGCTGGACTTAAGAAGAAGTTAGAAGAGTTGGAGAAAGGAAGAGAGTTATAAAGCAATGAATTCAACAGGGTAGAAAAGAGGTTAGAAATCGGGTTAGATCTAACCTTCTACCCTAAATTTATTTTTGGTGTAAATTCACAAGGTTAGTTATCGGGTTAGATATCGGGTTAGATCTAACCTTCTACCCTAAACATTATTTTTGTGCTATGTTTTCATACGTGTGAGGGTGGTGATATCATTTATTTTTATTTTATTTTTTAAAATTATTTTTTATTTTATTTTTATATAAATGACGAAAACTATTGAGATAACAAACTACAACGGTCATGAGTTCAAGAATTTGTTCTTCGTTCCTCGTGAAAATACATTCTATCAGATACGAGGGAGAAAGGGTAAAGTTAGTTTGAGCGTTTACGACAACAAACATAATGGGAGATATATAAAAGCAATAGATACAAACGGTAAGCGTGTTTCATTAGCTTTGTCAAAACTTAGTAACATTTATTTTGACAGTGATTTTGACTCTGACGATTGGAGTGACAGCAGCGATAGTGAAGAATATGAACTGTTGTGTGAAGCAAAGCAATGGGAAGAGTTGCAATACTTTTGTAAATGAGAACGTTTATTTTTTACAGTAGTAAAGTCGTTAGTGAAAACGTTAGTGAGGTGAAGTGGTTGGTGGCTTTGTAAATATTTAAGGTTAAGTTAGTGTTGTCGTTTGTGTTGTAAAATATACGTTAACGGTTTCGTAAAGTGTCAAATTCACATATAATGGGTAAGGAGGCGCGCAGTGCCTCCGTACACATGATATGTATTCTATCTAGTGTTGAAAAAAAATTTTGAAAATCTGAGAGACTGTGCAAGAGCCAACGACCAAAACACTACAAGTAAGATACAGCAGTAGTAGCTGCTTCATGCTGCATTGAGTATTGTTGAATAATTTGAAGTAGTGGTTTTTGAAATCAGCACCCCTATGAGAGCGCTGGCGACCGAAACACCACTAGTAAGATTGTGTATTAGAAACTGCTTCATGCTGTGTTGAGTAAGCTTCGATATCTTTATCAGACCACCTTTAAATTAACCACTCACATTCTCACTGTGGTCCATCTAAAATTTGTAAACTTTATGACATAAAATTATATTATATGCAGGATCCCACCTATTACTTAATCTTTTTGGAATAAATGTTTTATAATATTTATCGATTGATTGTAATTTTTTGTATAAAAAAAGTTTTTTATTTATATTAAAAATATATTCGGTTAATGATATTATCTTATAATTTGTAAATAAATCTAGTAATAAAATAACTTTAATAGTTGGTGTCACTTTTTCGAAAATTCTGGTTTTTTCGTTGATGAACAGAATCTATATTTTACTTCATTAGATGGTGTATTGTACACAAAAAATTTCGAGGAAATAGTTCATTATCCATCAGCTCGAACTGCAAAAGTTTTTTATTTACCAAAAAATGTTAAAATCATTAGAGACCAATCTTTCTCATACCAATCTTATATAAATTCCCTCATTTTTCAAAATGAAATTACCGATGTTACTCAATATGTTTTTACTAACTCAAATAATTTACGAAATTTTATTTTTCCTTTAGGAATTTCCCTTCCTGCTGCAATTTCGGATATACTCAAAAGTTACACTATTTCATATTATTCAATTGAAATACACACATGTCCAGCCTATTGTTATAGATATTTATTTGATCTTAACATCTTAATGAGTATATTTATTATTATTTCATAAAGAAATAGAAATAAAATTAACTTAACTAATGATTTATCCAATTAATATATCAAAATTCAAAGAATTTTACTTATCAAAGAGGAATGCTTAGACATCTTGAGGTTTTCTAAAATTTCCATTTACAATTGATGGTTTCCTTACAATAGCGATTTCCCATCAAAGATCCAATATAATGATAATATATTCTAGACAAAAAATCATTTAGAATTAACGAATAACATAAATATTTAGCTAAATCATATCTTTCGAATCTCAATTCTCTTGAAATAATAGAATTTCAAAGGAAAAATAGACCCAAATCTTTCAAGAATCTGACACTAATCAAAATGAATTTTTTTTGACATTAGTAAAAAAATCAGCTTAAATAAGGCCTAAGAGTACAAATTTTATTAATAAATGTACATTATACGCAAATAATTAATTAGAAAACTATAAATTACGCAAAATTTTTCATCCAATACAATTTCGTATTTGAATCAAAAATAATCGTAATTTCAGTAATTATATTTTAAAGAATAATTGCTTATTTAATAAATATATTTTTGCATTATTAGCGATGCAATTATAAATATAATACAAACTTTTCTGAACTTTTCTCAGAAAAATATTTTGAATATATTGGAATACGAATCGCTTAAAATTGTTTTGGGATTATAAATCTATTAAAAATAAAGAATCTCTAAAAATTTTGAATTGATAAGTATTCAATTTATTTTGGATTTTTAATAGATGCCCGAATTTGTTGCCAGAAGAGCATTTAAGCAATTTCAATTTAATAGTATTGTGGATGATAAAAAGATCAAAATCAGCGATGGAAATCATCAAATGGAAGTTCCTTTTAAAACATTGTGTTCATATAGCAGGAAAGTTATGAATGACTACATGCAAGGAGAAAACATTGAAGAATATAAACTAAAAGAAGTCAGTGATGAAACATTTAAAATCTTTTATCAACTTTTTATAAAAAACAAAGTTTCTATCGAAATTTCTGAAGATATTCTGAAAGAAATATACCAAATAGGCATAGATCTCGAGATTGAAGACTTTTTCGATTGGTATAGTACTCTTATTTTCAGAGATGAAATAAACTTAAAAAATATAGAAGAAGTCCTTTCATTTATAAGAAAATCGCGAAAGAATTATAATGAAAAACTAGATGATATTATCATATTCATAGCGAAAAATATTTCGGGAGGTTATCGATTTTGTAATTTAATCGTTATCGTCTTTTTCTAAACGTGCATTTTTACATTAAAAGCAATGCAACTCCAAAATTAATTGGTATTTAGACTTTAATTAGGTGCAGACAAACGAAATGCAGTCCAAATATTTTGGTGATATATGAATTACATAAATTTAGGGAAATTGAAATTATATCTTTTTAAATTTTTAGGAAAACAGATTTATAGAATTGTTTAAGTCATCAAAATAATGCAGACTTAGATCAAATTTTCCAAATTTAATCATTTGCAAGACTTTCAAGCGACTTCAAAATGTCGAAATATAAGTCCAAAAATAAAATTACGATTACAGTCTATCCTCAATTATTATCACGCTAATTATTGAGTGACCCATGCGTTCGTATGTATGTAATACCTTTTAAAAAGGAGATGAGAGAGATAAACTACATTTACAATTTAAATCTGATGTATTTACTTGTTACATTTACAAATGTAAATGTTTCTCGTAATGTTTACATTTTGTAAGTATAACGAATAAAAACGACGCACTTTTTTACAAAGTCAAATTATGCGATACAACTTTACTTGTTACATTTACAAATGTAAATGTTTCTCGTAATGTTTACATTTTGTAAGTATAACGAATAAAAACGACGCACTTTTTTACAAAGTCAAATTATGCGATACAACTTTACTTGTTACATTTACAAATGTAAATGTTTCTCGTAATGTTTACATTTTGTAAGTATAACGAATAAAAATGACGCACTTTTTTTTACAAAGTCAAATTATTGTTCGATTTTTGCAGCTTGTAAACGATTAATTGTATAAAGCAATTGATATTAGCACGACATAACTGAATAATTCTAATATTGAAATCAAAAGCCCTTAAAATATCATGATATTTTAATTTCATAACAAATCTAGGAGACTATTTGATGAAAACATATCCGATGTGGGTTTTGTTGTATTATATAACTTGTTATTGACTTCTTAGCTTTCGAAATTTTTTTCGATAATGAGAAAACGAATGAAAAATCAACATTTGGTCCATTTAAAATTTGATTTGTTTACATTTTTTTTACTTTTTGAATTCCAATTTATATTTTCCTCAAGAAATACTTTAGATTTTAAGAAACTAAATCATATAATCTACTAAGAAAATATATTAAATCCTATAATACTCAAAGTTTTGTGATAAATCCGATCTTTTTTATTTTACTTTTATTATGTTTTTGCAAACTAAGCAACGTCGGTGTTTCAAAAAGTAATAATTTTAATATTTACTATGATTCTTCTTCGATAAATATAATTTTTGTTCTTGGAATACAACTGTTATTGAGTATTGTCAACTATTTCTTCTCAATTTTGTTTTGAGAAAAAAATGATAGGATATTTCTCGAAAATATAGTAATTAAAAAATCATATATGCTTTCTTTGTATTTATCAATTAAAAATTTCACTGTAAGTTCTCTACACAGTTCAGAAATCGCTTTTTGATTCCGCTACACGTTATTAAAATCACTTTTTGAAAGAAAAAAAACTACTTCGTTATATATCAAATTTGTTCTCGATTATAATAACAATTCGGGAACCGTATATTTGTAAAATATAATTGTTGGGACTTTTTCAATTGACATCACAAGTTTTCTGAGTGTAAAAAATTTCAGAAAAATAATACTTAAAAATCCATCTATGCATAGTATTCTTGATATATTTTCTGACTAGCAGATAACTTTAACATGTCACTATGGCAATATGACACTGTATGTAAAATTTTATTCAAAATTTTCCTTTTTCAAAATCGGTTCAATTTTGAGAGCAAGATTTTACTTCATTATTCGAAATTGATGCCTCAAAGAGACTACTCATGGTCACCAGAATCATATGATGACTCATCCTCAGATGAATACTCTTCAAGTGAAGATTTGTTCCCAAGAAAATCATCAAGCAAAAAACGACATTCATTCTCAGCAGAAGAAGATGCTCAACTTGCAACATTTGTGAAGAAGCATGGTGAAAAGAACTGGAATTACATTGCTTCTAAATTACCTGGCCGCACAGCTCGCCAAGTTCGTGAAAGATGGGTAAATTACTTATCACCACATGTTAGCCATGCTGAATGGACTAAAGAAGAAGACGAATTACTCGAAAAACTTATGTCTCAATATGGAACTAAGTGGGCCAAGATTGCTGAATACTTCCCAAAGCGTACAGATGTTCTTTTAAAGAACCACGCAGCACTCATCAAGCGCCAGATAAAGAAAGGTAAAAGAGTATTCTCAATAAAGTCAGATAACGAAGAAATTGTTGAAAAAAAGGATTCTCCAAAAAGAGTTATTAGTCATGAAATTGAATATTTTGCTACAGTGTCTGTACCACCAATCGATATACCAAGTTCCACCCAGTCAACATCTTCAATTCCTACACCAACTACTCAAAATGAAGTTGTTCAGGATCAGGTTGTTCAGGACCAAGATCCCTTTGCCCTTTTTGATAACATCACTAATGTATTGTGGACATCAAATGATGATGATGAAAGTATTTTAAGTATTATTAACTTTTTTTAAGAAGTAGTTGTTTGTAAATCCTTTTATTATTTGTATAAATTTGATTTTTTTAGATCTTTTTATTCCTTTAGTTTAAAAAAAAAATTAGTATTTGATAAATCAAAGAATCAGATCATGAAATATAAGTAATTTTGTATTTCAGAAAGAAAAACATCTAATATCAAATTACCAAGTAAAAATAAATGAAATTCGAAATAAAATTAACCAAATTTCCATCATTGTAAGTTTAAACTTATAATATGCCATTATCATTTCAAGCTGCTAGTCGTGCCATCCATGATTTGAACAATATCGGTCAATTATTGGGTTAATTTTCCTTTTTGAAATGCCAACTGTTGAAACAATTTAAAACTAAATATTAGTGTAGGAAAACTGAGCTTTAATTTTTATGATGGAATTCTTGAATAAAATTTGAACGCTCACCATTTGAATACAAAACGATGTTTGTCAAAAATTTTATTTCAAATTAATACATACAATTTCTTATTATATGCGAGTTCGATAGAAATCAAAATTGATATAAAAATTATGTGAATTCAAATATCGTCAGAAATTTTATGGGAGAAGAATTAGAGTATGACTTTCCTTTCTGAACATCCTGTTTTGGATTAAGAGCACAATCAACAGCCAGAGTAACGAATGCAAGAATCTTTTCTCTATTTTTCTCAATTGTTTCATTTGTTATACCCGTCATTTATCGCCCATATTTAAAATTGGCGCTAGTTTATTCCATAATTATTGGGATTATCCCATTTACAATCAAACTTCTACTATATATTATCTCACGATTAATAGACAAAACTTTTGATCTTTCATCTTCAGATGATGAGGAGATCGAAGTTACGCATGAAAGGCCAACTAATATATCACCTGCATTATGGGCACACGCAACCGAATTTTCTCAAGAAAATCCATTTACAGACGAGCATGCTGTCAATTATATTGGAATAGGCTTTAAACCGGATGAAGTATACGAATTTGCCCAAAGAATCAAAGAATGCAACTATGATCTCGAAACAAAAACTACAAAAATCGGAACAAAAAAGAAAACTTACATAAATTTATTTGGAAAACTCAAAGGATTTGCAATCAAGCGTGAATCAATAGAAAACGTATTTACTAACAATTGTTCATTACTTTACATCATAATTGGAGGAATATTGATATTCTTCTCTTATTTTCTATGTTTTTACGTTAATCACACATTTACGAATACTACAAAATGGTTTTATACGATAGAACTTGGTATTTCAATTCATTTATTATTAGTCCCTCCAGATGTAGAACCATATTCAGTGACAAAAGGAGATATTTTCAACGGAATTACAAGATTATTTACAACTGTTCTTTGTTTCAGTGCTCTTTACGGTTGTAATTTAGTTAAAAACGAAAAATTTTACATCAAAGATTTCGATATTACAATAAATATGGGAATTATATACAAGATAGTTAATGTCATTACATTTATTAGTGTCGGATTGAACTTTGTTTCCGTTCATTTTTACATTACTTCTCCATTGAACTTCATTCATTATATTTTAGAGAATTTCAACACATATGTATTCGGATGCTCGCTTTCAAAAAGTTTTTTGCATGCGTTGTTACTATTTACTCGAGGCGTTGTATGTGTTTCGATATTTTATTTCTTAGACTCAAAATATTTAGCAATCAAAATGCTATCGATTCCAATAATTACGCTAATTGTTCAAACCCCTACAATATGGACTCCTTTATTTAGATCAAAATTATTTTGGAATTTTTTCATAATCTTTGGATTTTGTATGTTACACTATGCCCTAACTTTTGTCATGATTTATGCTGAAAAGTCTATTTCTATTATTTCAATGATTCTTTCTGTAATTAGCTTAATTTTAGAATTTTTCATTCCAAAATTGATCACTTACAGAATGTTTGATTGGTACACAACCAAACTTATTGAAGGAAATACAAAAATATGCACGATTCTAAGATTTATCATTCCTCATTTGATCTCTCCAATAATTGTGAGTCAAATCATTAAATATAATGACAAATCTCGTTTGCTATTTAGTATTACATGTGTTTGTGCACTTACAAAGGCATTTACAGATCCACACACGTTTTCATTAGCTATTTTCTTTTATTCTTTCTTGTTTTATTTTGATTTTCCAATGAAATCGAAAACTATGACATTATTTTTATCACTTTTGATAGCGAGAAAGTATTTCAGTATTAAACCAATAATAGAGTTACAGCATATGCCAAAGACAACTGAACATTTTATCTCCACTTATTTTGTTAATGCTGATGAAATGTTCAAAATTCCTGTTTTATTATTTAATTCTATTTTTGGAAATCTTTTTGTTGATATTCTTTCACTCAATTCGATCAGAATCATTTCTTCATTCAAGCCTTCCTGCTTCTGGGATCAATGGAACGAACAAGATGATGAAAAGCTCTTTGAAGCAGATTTAACAGAGCATCCTTTGGAAACACCTGTTTACATTTCTCTTTCGAATTACTTAGAGAAGAATCTAGGTAAATTGATAAGTTCTGGAAAATTAGGAACTGTTGATTCTAATGATATCTTTATTTTGACAGATAAAGATCTCATTGCAATAATAGAGATCATTTCGAGAGAAAGCTATTCCGTACATTTCAGATTAAGGGGATTGGAATTCAATGATGTTTCTCCTTGTCATTTGAAAAATAGAAATATTATTTCTGATGATTTAAACATGATTTTGCAAACTGATAGTTTTAGAAATAATGTTTATCATTCTCTAAAATTGTCAAGAGGGCCTCATCATTTAATACAATCTGATTTGTTTTTCCCAGTCAGGTCATTAGTTCTCTACGATTTCACTACTTTCTTCGCTTTAGTGAATGAACAAACAAGAGAAAATTTGAAATTCGTAATTCTCGTACTTGTATTGAAAGAATCCGATATCTTCAATAATCCAGAAGATTATTCATATGCACCAAATAATGATGATAAATTTTCCTTCTATTTGTCTAAATTCGGACTAAGTTTGAGTGAAGCTGATTATGAATTTGCAAATTGCATTAGATATTCCATTCAAACAGCAATAGGAATCAATATTGCACGGAATAATCAGTTGGCTAACTTATTCATGCTACTTAATAACCCTCAAAAATTTGAAATTGAAATTCTTGATTATGATAACGAAAAAGTTCGATCGATATTCGTCGACTTCACAAGGAAATATATTGCGTCATTAATGTTTGCAACTGTTCATAGCTGTTCAGAAGTTAATTGGTCTAATCCAGATGTTGATTTTCTCACTGATTTTTATCATCAAGCTGTAGATCAATTTTGTCCTCTTCCTTTGAGATCAGCTGAGTTTAGAGATGCATTTCTTAACAAAAAAGAAGTAGTAGTTTCAGATTCCAAGAAAAATCATGATAAATTCGGAATTTATATGTGTTCTGAAGAGAACTCATTTAATTTTATTAAATACAATCAGCTGCAAGCTCATTCCTTATGGAATTACTTTGCAATTATGCAGTTGTATTATAGGTGTGATGATCCGGAGAGCATCGTATATAAAGATGTCCAGTGTCACATGCGAAATTTATTCTATACATCAGCAAGCCATCCTTTAGGATATCCTGTTTATGTATCACCAATTCTTACTTCATACTATCTACCAACCTTTTTGTAATGAAAAGATTGATTGTCTTGTTTATATTATATTAAATATTCATGTAGTAGTTTTACTCTTTCAAATGTCATATTTGAAGCATGATAAATCAATAATTAAATGCATTCACATAAATAATAAAGCATTTGATTCTAAAATCTTTGAGTCTAACCTATGTATGTGACATCTAGTTTATTCAATGTCCGAAATTCCATTATTCTTTTAAAATTCAATGAAATAAAAATTTAAAAAGGGTATATATTTTATTACAAAACAAATAAAAGCTAAAAAATAACAGTTAAAGTTCGTTTTCTTGTTCCCTTTGGACGCTCTCTAAACCATTATCATCTGATTTTTTATATCTTCTAATGGCGTTCGTAATAACGTCTGTACAGTTAGCTAATAGACCAAGTTGTACTATATTAGCTATAAGAGCAAGGAAGAACAAGAAGCACCACATTGTACTTAATCTTGACAAAGTAACAACAATGCAAATAAAAAGATATCCGATGTTAACTAATAGTGTAATCCAGAAGAGCTTCTTTTGGTAATTTTCATCCTCAGGGTAAGTTTCAAATTTCCAATTGAAATCACCTTCTTGTGTTGTTTTACATGAATATTTAACACCGGCAAGATGTTTGCTTGCAATTCTTTGCGTATGCCATAAATCAAAAATGATTACAACTGATGAAGTAAACCAGCCGAATGTGTGCGAATCCATCAATGAAAATATCATTGTCCAAATGCATATGAAAAGTTTAATGATTAAAAATACAGAAGTAATTGTCAAATTTGAAGCAAGAAATCTGATTTTGCGAATTCCTTTTTGAATTGTATCAGAAAAGTTTTTGTTAGTTTGAGGGGCGTCGCTGTTATCTGTTGGCTGTGTTTCAAGCGGTTCTTGAATAGAATTTCCTTCAGTATCCATAATTTTTAATTCAAAACGGTTGAATAGAAAAATCATTTTATTGAAATTTTATGGTTAAATAACTCCTAATCATATTCCTTATTGATTTCATTAATAAAAATTTTCGAAATTTTTTGTGAATTCGAAAATCTCACTGATAAAACCTAGAAAAAATTTTTCTAAAATTTGAAAAATAATTTTTATTTGGAATTGAAAAATCATTTTTAAACAAAGTTAATCGGGGAAAAGCATAAATTATAGATATAGAATTTAATTATATTAATGATTAGTATTTTAATAATAAATTTCATCAATTGAGCAATATCATGTTTCAGCTGAAGGAATCAAATGTTATACACAATGACTACGTTCAATGGTTCATCCCACAAAACTAACGTTGAAAACGCTCAAAAAAGTGACGAATGTATACAAATATTTGAATGTCATCCTTCCGTCCTCGTGATTTTAAGACAATTCCAGCCACAGGATATGAAGATTTCATGCAAATGCAACAAGATTTCATTGAAATGGATAGCACAAATGTAGCAGAAAAAGAAAATTCGTTATTAAAGAATTCCATGTTGAAATCGAAACAAGGGATGATTTCTTTTGTTGACGACTTCCTTAGAAACGTCAGCATCAGACATAAAGATCTTGACTTGTTCATTGAAGTTATTGAATTTTTGTACAAAAATGCCAATTCATCTAACTTCACCAAAGACATAATACAAACAGTCGTTGACAAGATCTTAACTCCTATTGAAGACTATAGAATTTCAGAAAAAATTATGCATTTTACATTTCTTCGCAGATTATTCGTTAAAAAGCTCATTCCTCTCGATCAAATTCATTCTACACTGCTTAATTTTCCAAAGGGATATCCAATTCAATACATAATCCTTTACTATTTCTTCGTTTCTGAATGCTACACAAAATCTGGCAGAGATGTGGAAAAAATGAAGGAAGTGATCGAAGAATACAGAATGAAATTTGAAGGAAATCCTAAAATTACAAAAGAAATGGAAACTTTCTTAAAACTCCAAAAAATGCAAGATTCAATGGAAAAGAACTCATATGCGAAGCTCAAAGAATACATCGAATACGGATGCCCACTTAATTCAATGGAATACGCTCTTAAATTCGATAAAGTCGACCTTTTGAATGAAATTGTAACCAGAGACAAAATTAATCTATCAGAAAGAATGGAACAGAACTATTTCGAACCATCTTTGTTCGTACATTGGGATCCTACACCTCTTGAGTTCGCTGCTTTCTTTGGTTCTTACAATTGTTTCAAATACATCATCAAACATAACATTAGCTTACAATACATTCCTCTTTTCGCTACAGCAGGATGCGATATACGTATCCTCAAGGTTTTGGCCTCAAAAAAGGTCAGTTTTGAAGGATGTCCAAGAATTGCAGCTTATTTCCGCAGATATGACATTTTCGAGTGGATCATGACACGCCACAAAGAGAATCTGAACATGAAGAAGGAACTAAACTACGCTTTATCACGTGCAATTGCAATTAATTATATTGATATGATAGTTCAATGCATAGATATCGGGGCAAACATCAATTTCAAGGATGAGAATCAACAGACTCCGCTGATAGTCGCTGCTACAAACGATTGCCTCGAATCTGTTGCTTATATGATCAGATATCCAAGTTTAGGCGTGGCCGCAGAAGATGCTTTTGGCCACAAGATACAAGACTTATCTCATGACCCAAGAATTAGAAGACTTATTGCAGATGCAATTGAAGAAGAGAATGAAAGACTTAGAAGATAAGTCACTATTATTTTAGATATAAATATGTAATTTTAATATCTCAAAATCTAATCAAGCTTTTTATCAAAATATATTTCCATTTTTTTTGAGCCGAATCTGGAATATAGTCAGTGGAAATCCTACAAGAAATGCAGACACAATATATTTCCGCAACATTCTATTAAAATCAGGAAATATTGAATCACATTATTTTTCTTCAAAGCTCATTTAAATTCCTTCTATTAAAAACTTTCTCAAGCGTGGTGATGATTGTTTGGTTTCATTTTTTTGTATTCAGACTAAATGAAGTAAGATTTTTATCCTTTCCATGCAAAACTCAATGCTTGAAATTATTTACTATTTGATAAGCTATCATTTCGTTTGCACGGAATAAGCATTATTGATGTTTTGATAAAAATCATGAAAAAAATGAGTTAATATATAACATAACTAGAAAACATGTACTGATACACCGCACTTGAAAAAGAGCAATGCAATTATGCAATCCTAATGCTCATAAAATGAATAATTTATATTTTTGAACTTCATAAAAAATGATTTTAGACTGCAAATTTAATCATCACTATGAGTGCGTATTGTAAGCTTCCTACCATTACAAATAAGAAATTGCCTTATCGCGTGAACTCCTCACAAACTATCATTTTTTTCGGTTTCTAAAGTACTGAAAATTTTAGTATGCAACAATTTTTAGTATAAATTGGAGAATAAAAAATGTGTGGTCCGAACATCAGCCAAAATTGAATACTTACAATGTCACTTTTGATTCAATATTTTTTTACAATTGGTAAACATATTCTTAACACTCTAATCTAATTTGTGTTCAATAAAAATAATCAACCTGACATAATTTTCGGCCAAACCGACATCAATTTTAAAAAAGATATTGTAATTTAATTTGAATGAAGAATATTCAACAAAATTCGATTTTTAAAATTTTGAGAGCATATTAATTCAATTAAATTTTACTTAATTTGAATTAATTATAATATTTCATACTAATATATAAAAATATTCAATTCGTTTTTCATAACTCTTTCAAACCTATTTCTACCGAAAGGATTTCTGAATTTTGAATAGAAGCGTAATTTGAGTTCAAGATGTCTACGCTGAGGGCTGTCGTTTTCTCTACAGATAATCCTCAGTCCTTGAAACAAATTGTTGTCGGCTCAGATTTTACAGGTGAGCAGTTTATGCAAATAGCTTGTATTCAACTTGGAATACCGTTCAATATGAATTCACAATTGCACGCTACGATGCAAGACGGCACAACAATTATCGTTAATTTAGAACAAACATTAGAATCTCAAGGTATTTTGAATGGATCGTCTTTTTGCATTGGCGATAATTACGGCCAACTACCTCTTCCTCCCCTTCATACATCAGAATTCCCGCAAATACAGCAAGACGAGTTTGAGGAACAGTATCAGCAGTTTATGATACCGCCATCAAGTCTTAAGGAGGATCAAGTTCGAGAAATTCAAATTAATCCGATAGATTTAACAGTTCTCGATTTCCCAGAAAATGAAATTGAACCACCCAGCAGTCAGTTCCCTGCACCACCATCATATTTCCCAGCAGAAGAACAGAGCGTATTCGTTCCTCCTATCGATTTAACAGTTCCTGAATTTCCATCTGACTCTGAAAACTCAATAGACAGTTCAGAAGGAAGTGAAGAAAGTGATATTGTTATCAAAAATAATAAATTTGAGACTGCTGAATTTGATACTTCTTGTGGCATCAGCTTTTCATTGGGAACGAAAGAAAATGCGACACAAATGTATACTTTTTACGAATTTCAAGATAACCACGAAAAGCCAATTTATTATGATAATAAATTCAAGCTTAAACAAGTAATTCAAGTCGCTCGTCAAGTCTTACAACTCAGAAATAACGATTACGTGGCATTATTGTGCTTTAGCGATAATGAAAAACGTTGGTTTGAAGAAGATCTCTGTGTTGAAGAACATTCATGCTATGATGGCATGGCCATTAGAATCTTCAGAAAGGAATTAGTCATTTCTATCAATTCAATTCACTTCGAAACTTTCAAATTCAAATTTAATATTACAGACACTGTTGGAGAGCTTGTCAAGCAGATTGCACAAGAGAAAGGCATAAATAACTATGCCGGATATACTTTAATGACAAGAGAAACTACAATTAAAGGATCCAAAATGAAAACTAGAGAAATTCCATTAGATCTCGAAAAAGACTTACCGCATCAGATTACAGATATGAAAGAACTGAAGTTTGGTCGATGCTACTTCGTTTTCTCCCACAAAGATTTGCAATCTATGGATTCTGCAATGTTGGCATATAAAGATGCAGCTATTGAGATGAAAAATGGATCAACGAAACTATTATCTAAGGAAGATGCCGTACGATTGGCCGCTCTTTCGATTATTATCGAAAATGATAAAAATAATTTCGACATTAACTCGATTCCGGACGAAGTTGGCCAATATCTTCCAAGTCACTACCCAGATCACAAGACGCTAGGCTCAGAAGTTCGAAAATTTTTGGAACAAAATGGAGTTCCTGACAAAATCAACGCTGTAAGGCTGTATTTGAAGCATGTAAGACTTGTTCCTGACTTTAACATGCAGAAATTCAAGTATACTAATGATACATCGTTGAATTCTGAAATGCAAGCCTTAATTAACCCATTATGCGTTACAATTGTTAACCAAGAAGGTGACATTAGCTGTAGAATACCTTATAATGATATTATAGAGCTTGAATGTGAAGATCAAGTTTTATCAATTTTATATCAAGTTTCAAATGACAATAATTTCTCAGCTGTCACCATAAGAACCAAGAAGTGTCTTCTAATCTACAGAACAATCATCACTTACCAAAGAATTATCAGAAATCTGTTAATGGAGCGCGCACAACTCAGATTAGAAGGTAAATGGTCAGGTCCTGTGTCTCCAAATGACATCATCCATGTCAATGCTTACAATGATTTCACAGATAAGAATCCATCTTTATTTGAGATCGATAGGAACTTCACGGGACAAATGCTACTCCAAATATTAACAAAGAACATGAATATATCACTTGAAGATCCATCAAACAAAGATTTGGCCATACTTGTCAAATTAAGAAATATTTACAAGTGGGCGGAACCAATGAATACGTTAAGTCAGATCGGAATGTACGATAACATCGATGTTTACATCGTACATGTTGAAAGAAACATGAAAATCTACTTACCGAATGGAACAGATATCGAATTAAAAATAAATGCACAAAGTAAATCAGAAAAAGTGATTTCTGATATATTTACAGCACTTAAACAACCATATGTATATGGATATTCATTGTATTACATTAATGAAAACAATGAATTAGTTCCATCATCAAGTGAATCAACAGTTCCTGAGCAATCATTAAGAACAGATAGTTTATATCTCAAAAGAAGATTCTTTACATTAACAAGAGATGATTTGAAGAATGATTTATTGACAACATCCGCTTTCTTTGATTCAAGAGAATATATTTTAACAAAAGAAGTTTCAATAACTGACCAAGTAGCCGTAGAACTTGCTATTCTTGATTATATAACAGAACATGAAGATTTACAATCATATCAGAACTTCAAAGACACTGATTTCCAATGGGAAAAGATGTTTCCTAAATCAATATCTATAAAGAAATCATTGAAAAAGGCATTTTTAGAAGCATTTGCAAATCATGAAATAATTGATAAAAAACATGCCATGAAAAAGTATTTGACAATTGTAAGAGAACTCCCATATTTCGGTGGTGAATCATATCAAATAACAATGAGAGATTCTGATTACCATCGAAAGAAATTACCAAAAACATTCCAAGATGCAATTATAAAAATTTGTCCATTGAATATTTTCTTGTTGGAAACAAATGGAAAAGTAATACATAAATTATTCTGGAGACAAGTAATTTCATATGAAGCATCGAAGAAATCAATGAGATTGACATTTAGAAATGCAAAAGGTGATGAAATAATCAATGTAGATATCAGAAGTAAATCGATGCAGGATATTTTAATGATGATCAAAGGTTCATGGACAATTTTCGTAACAATTATGCAGCTCCATAGAAAAGAAGATGAAGCGAAACAAGAAGAAAGAAATAAAAGACATAACGGTGGATTTACAGATAACGGAAAAGTCCATGGTCCACAAGTTGATTTATATGTAATTACTGATTTAGTTACACGAAAGAAAACTAAATTAGTTTGGTTAGATATCGACATGACACAACAAGAAGTTCTTAATTTCATGAGAAAATTATATAACACGAATCCAAAAGATAAATATGGATTAATGATTGAAAATTCTGAATCATATACATGGTTGTTATCTGATATGAAAATCAAAGATGTTGATGTCAAAGTTCTTTCTAATCTTTTCTATTTGAATATCCGACCAAAACTGAAAATTCAAGATGATAATGGTCAAACAAAAGAAGTTGTTTTGAGATTGGAAGTTCCTTTGGTTGAATCGATTAAAGAAGTTTGTGACGAATTCGGCATCAAACAATCAATCGGATACACATTGTTCGCACCTGAAAAGACAAAGAACAATGAGTTATTCCCATTGGAATTGAATTCGACATTGCCAGAACAAATTTCTTCTTTCGAAGGTTTAGTTTTAAGAAGAAGATTCTTCGTTATAACTAAACTTGATTTCGAATCTCAAGAAGCATTCAATCAGATCTACAATGATATTAGAAGAATGGTTAATTCTGGTGTCATGGATATTTCTCTTGAAATGGCAAATGAATTGGCTTTTTACCAGATGTCCGTTGATATGAATCCATTGACAGAAAAAGCAATTCCTGAAAATTGTTCGAATTATTTACCAAAGAACATCAAACAAAACAGGAATATGAAGCTCGAAATCAAGAAATACATGAAGTTATATCCAAAACTAACAGTTGAAGAAGCACAAAGACAATTCATTGAACACGCAAGATCAATACAATCATTTGCTTGCGAAAGATATTCAGGATATTACTTCTCAAATGTAAAAGGAAACAGAAGAATGCATGAAATAAGTGTTGTCATCACTCCTTATAGATTTTATGTCACTGAGAAACAAACAAATACTCTTTTGATCAATATACAACACGAATTCATTTACAAGATTGAAGAATTGGAAGGAAGATTGTGTATTTCTTATACAGGATTAGATAAACAAAACTTTGTATTGGACATGGAATCAACAGCATCAAGACAAATTAAGAATGTAATTGATACTTATTACAGCATTAAATGTCAATTACTCAAACTCAGAATCACTGATGATTTCAAGCCAGAAGAAATCTCAAGTGGTGAACACCTTTTGATTTTTGCACACATTGGAGTAGATAATGATAAACACAGATCAATTGCTTTCGATCAGAGATGTAATGGTCAACAATTGGTCCAAAGACTCAGAAAATTATTGAATTTGAATGAAAAGTCATCTTTGTAAATGATCTAAGACTTTCTTGAATGAAAAGTCAAATGTCATTGAAGAAGTCAAAACAATTCTCAACAAAGCAGAGAATGTTGAAGTAATCGTCATCAAGAGAGGTCAATCCATATCAGAATTGACAGCAAAGTTTGTCTCATCATCTGAATCATCATCACCAGAAGAACAAGCTCTTCGTGAGATATTATCCATTGCTTCCAAATCCGCAAATACTCTTTCAAAGACTGCAGAACAAGTCCTTGAAATCAAGAAGAAGAAAGAAACAGCCGCGACAACTGTTCACACTGGACAGGCAAGAGAATGGCTACTGAAGAGATTAGATTTGGAATCAAGAGTCATCAAGGCAAGAATGATACTCGAACATCACGAACAAGAACTTGCCTCGATTCAATAATTTATTTATTTAGAATATAATTGTTATTATATTTTTTTGTTAGATTTACTAAAAAAAAAACATCTTTCTTTTTTCTTCTAATGCCTTTATAATCAGATATATATATTCTTGTTTGTTTGGGTACTTTATATTCATAAGTCCAACAATCTATGCTATGTGCTTAGATAAGACGACAGAAGATTATGTACTGTATGTGGAATCTAAACATGATTATATAGAACCTTTTGCTGAAAAACTCAAAAACGAAACGCTATCAATCAGTCGGTGGAGAAATTTTTATTCATTGTTTATTTATCTAAAATCACTTTTCTAAGATGTATATAATATTGAAGTATTTCGATAATAAAATACTTCAAATGGATCGTGAAATTTATGAAGATTTTGCCTCATTTCTTGAATCTCTTGATAACATCTTTAATCAAATTAACGATTTAACAAACACATACTACTAATATCTCAACGAGCACATGAGTGAATTGAATTATATTAAAATTTTTGAATCCTCCAAACAAAATGCAGAGAAGATTGCATTAAGAAAAGTAAACTTAACACATTTCACTTATTTGATATTAACAATTTATGGATTTCATCACCTTTAACAACATGCAAGAATGATTATAAGAATCTTATTAAGGATCCTAGTTCTCTACCTAGAGTTGAGATTATGTAGTGACTAGTTGGATCATAATTTATACGGTGAATAAGAATGAATATTTTAATTAATACCAAATCACTTGATTTTATGCATACATGTCAAGACTCATAAATTATATAATCAAAAGTTGTCCATCCTTACCTATTTCGCTGAACAAGAAAAATTTGTAAAAGGATAGCGATTCTCAAAACATTGAATAGCATTCCTGTATACAAATGGTCCAATGTTAGTGAAATACTCCAAATTGATTAAACATTAAATGTATTTTGTATTTTTCATATAAATTAAATTCAATTTAGAAAGAATGTGCTAATTCCAAATGATAATTTGAACTCAGAGCATCATACTGCAATAATATTACATATTGGAATTTGATATTGCAATATTATCGAAGATAGTGCTCCAAAATGTGAGATTTTCTGATACTTGTTCTTAGTATCCATGCACTTTCTAAATACCTTGTATGATCATATTGAAATTAAAAATAGATGATTTTGTTTCAGTTTAATTTGAATAATTAGTGTCCCAATAACCTTCTGGCTTAAGATTTACATAAACACCTAACTTTTAGCTGTAACTTCACTTGACAACCAATTTTGACGAATTTCTGTTGGATACTTATTAAAATTTAATTTTGGGTTCAATATATAAGACTTTAGGTATCTTGCAGTTAATTCATTTTGGGAAAGTTAAACATTTGGGAAAAAACAATTGCTCATTCAATTAACCGATCATCACTCTCAAAAAAATCAATAATTGGGAATTTTCCCATTCAAATTTTTTTCATTTTTTCCCAGTATAACTTTTCTTTAAAAATCTGAATATACTCCATTAACTCTATTAAATTTTTTGATTGAAAACTTAAATCTTGAATTTGAGTTCTGGTTAAATTAAATCACTTCATTTTTAAGCAATGCTTGCTTCAGCATCTACTCTCGGATCTCAACAAATGGCACTCTTCAGCAACTGCGCCAAGTCCTATCTTCGCCCAGGCGAAAAGATGTTCTGTTTCCAGTGTCAAGAAACAAACCACAATACAGGCTGCACAAGAAAGGGTGTTTGCGGTAAAATGCCATCTACAGCTAACATCGAAGATGAAATGGTTCAAGTTTGCAAGGAAATTGCACTTGCTCTTAAGGATGGTGTTGTTTCCAACGAAGTTGGTCTTTTAATCAACAAGACACTCTTCATGACAATCACAAACGCTAACTTCGATGATAATGCTCTTACAAAGCAATTAAACTTCGCCCGCGAAATTAAGAATAAGCTCGCTAAGGAACAGATCACAGCTCCACTCGGTGTTCACTCACATCCAAACCCAGATGTTGTTTCTCTTCGTGAAATGATCCTTTACGGCCTCAAGGGTATGGCTGCTTATGCTGACCATGCTGCTATGATCGGCAAGGAAGACAACGAAATCTACAACTTCGAAGTCAAGGCTTTGGCCCAGATCTCAAAGGAAGAAGACATCAACAAGCTTACAGAACTCTGCTTAGAAACAGGCAGATACTGTGTCAAGACAATGGCTCTTCTCGATGCTGCTAACACAGGCAGATACGGCAAGCCAGAGCTCACAAAGGTCAACATTGGTGTTGGAAACAGACCAGGTATCCTTGTCTCCGGCCACGATTTAAGAGATCTTGAAGATCTTCTTGAAGAAACAAAGGACTCTGGAATTGATATCTACACACACGGCGAAATGCTTCCAGCTCATGGATATCCATTCTTCAAGAAGTACCCACATCTCAAGGGCAACTACGGTGGTGCTTGGTTCCGCCAGGATCGTGAATTCGGCCCATTCAATGGCCCAGTCCTCATGACAACAAACTGCATCATTCCGGTTCGCAAGGAGTATAAGGACCGCATCTTCACAACAGGTCCAGTTGGCTGGCCAAATCTCAAGCACGTCCCAGACCGCAAGACACTCGAAGGCAGAAAGGACTTCTCCGAAATCATCGCTCTCGCTAAGAAGTGCCCACCACCAAAGCAGCTCGAATCAGGCGAAGTCACAGTTGGTCTTGCTCACGACCAGGTTCTTGCTTTAACAGACAAGATCGTCGATGCAATCAAGGCTGGAAAGATCAAGAAGTTCGTTTCCATGGCTGGCTGCGATGGCCGTCACAAGGAGAGAGACTACTACTCCAAGGTTGCTGCTGCCCTTCCAAAGGATACAGTTATCCTTACGGCTGGCTGCGCTAAGTACCGTTACAACAAGCTCGGCCTTGGCGATATCGATGGTATCCCACGTGTTATCGATGCTGGTCAGTGCAATGACTCATACTCCCTTGCTGTTATCGCTCTCAAGTTGAAGGAAGCCTTCGGCCTTGATGATGTTAACAAGCTCCCACTTGCTTTCGATATCGCTTGGTATGAGCAGAAGGCTGTTGCTGTTCTCTTAGCTCTTCTTTCCCTCGGATTCAAGAATATTCGTGTTGGACCAACAATTCCGGGCTTCTTGTCTCCAAACGTTGCTAACGTTCTCATCAAGAACTTCGGCATCAAGGGAATCGGTTCTGTTGAAGATGACCTTAAGGACATCCTTGGTACAAATTAAATACTATATAGATTAATAAAGAGTAGCGCTATTTCATAATTAACTTCATTTTTCTATTATTTCTGGTTATATCAGGTGGTTTTGTAAATGATAAAAGCCACAACACTCCAATAGATCAAGTAATATCTTCAACTATTGAATAATTTTAAGAAAATATATTAAAAAAAATAAGAAATTAATAGCAATAGTAATCTATAAACTTTATACGCTTTATGGGATAATTTCAGTAGAGTTATTATATGGTGGATAGTGGAAATCTTCAACCTTCATCTGGCCAGAGTTGATCTTTTCCCATGCAAGTGGAACAATTCTTGTCTTAATCTCTTTAAGAAGATGCTTGATAGTAACGCAAACTTCAAGAAGACCTTCCTCATTCCACCATTGTGTCTGATTGCAGTAAAGGCAACGACCACCGCATTCGGACAAAACTTCGCATGTATCACATGGAGCACCAACCTTTTCAATATGAGCAAGTTGGAATGGAGTATCAATCTTTGTGATATCACCAAGAGACTTGTATTCTGTAGCAATTGGACAAGCTGTGATATCACCAGATGTTGTAACGTTAAATGATTCCCAGCCAGATGAACATCTAACTGTCTCATACTTTTCTCCTGTCAAGTATGACCAAAGGATGCCTTGGATTGGAACAATTCCAAGCTGACGACCTTCCTTGAGTCCCTCGATGTAAGCATCAATTAGCTTTGTAACACCTGGATTGTATCTCTCATCACGCCATCTGAAGAAGTTCATGCCTGGTTCGAAGTTCTCATAGGCAGCATATGGTGGTGTATCCCATTCGACGTTAAGTTGCCAGTGAACATGATCGAAAAGTGGCTTATCACCATGTTGAAGTGTTAAAAGATACATAACATCTTCGAAAATGTGTGAGCCTGGGCCAACAGTCATACGAGCAATCATGTCACCCTTGAAACCACGATCGCGGGCATCACGAGCGTTTGAAATTGAGCGCTCCCATGTGCCTTTGCCACGGTTGCTGTTTGTACGGTGAGAATCACCATCGACTGAGACAAGAATTGTATCAAGCTTTAATAAATTCTCTGTTGGAAGTTTGTGCAATAATGTAGCATTTGTCTGAAGAACGAATTTTGCGTCTGGAAGCAATTTCATGATCTCAAGGATTCTGTCAATGCGAAGAAGTGGTTCACCACCATAGAAGCAAAGAGCGAGGTCTGGATCTTTTCTAAGCTTCTCAAGATTCTTGATATCGTAAACAATGTTCCTTGGAATAGCCATTATATCTTCAATGTCTTCATTTTCATCGCTACCGCAGTATTTGCATGTAAGATTACATTCTTGTGTTAAGGTGACGAACCACAACATTGGGAAAAAGGAATTGAACGCGGTATTCAATCAAGAATAATCGTATTTAATTCTTTTATGATATTTTGACACATTAAAGATAACAAGTAAGACCATATTAAATATTTTTCAATCATCAAAGCTCTCAAATTTTAATAAAATTGTATGGTTTCCCATTTTTCCTTCAATTTTTTGAAATAATTTTTTATCTCGAAAACAAATGTCATTCACGATGGGCTATCAGATAAAAATATCTGATAAATTACTAAACCATTATAAAAGTGACACGACTAGGGAAAACTCCGTATTGGTATTCAAAATCGAATCCATTCTTTATAAATTAACAGCAAAGCATGGAATATATAGATTTATCAATGAGGATAAACTTATGATGATGTCTCAAATCTAAAGTAGAAATGATTGATTTTAATATGAATTCATAGCATACATTAATAGATAAATAGTAATCCAATAACAAAATTGATTATTAGCATTAGCCAACTATAAATTTTCGATTTTACCTTACTCTGATATTATATGGCTTTGAATTCATTCTGACATAGATGTGTATATATAAGATTATAAAATTCAATATGAATTGAATATCCAATGTTGATTTTGGAAACAAAATGAATTAATTTCCTCATTGTTTGAAATAATTTGAGTTTCATACAATGTGCAAAAAGTCACGCATGATTGACCATATTACGTATTCAATTTTCATACCAAAATCAAAAATGATAGAAAATCAACTTTTGATATGATAAATATAGGATGATTATAATAAGCAATCGAATGCGGAAGACAATATTGATAAATTCATATATTGTAATCAGCAAATAATAAAAAAATTATTAATAATTTCTTGTTTCTTAAGTTGAGTATCTTACCAAAATGGTTATCTCATGTTCGCTTATATATTAATCCATTCCAAATATGCATGGTTAATTATTTTATTTATTTTGCATGTAAACATTCATGATAAGTATTCTTATATCAAAGAGTTTAAACAATGAGTAACTGACTAGAGAAATGGTTATATCTTGTATCGTAGTTGAATTCAAAACAATGATTTCTAATCAATATTTGGAGATTCATAGTTATAACATGAAGAAAGATGGATTGCTATTGACAATTTAATTTTTGATGACATATGAAATGGGTCTTTTGCTATAATAAAAATATGTATTTTTGAAATACAAGGAAAATTAACTGCCGTTCGCATTAATGATGAATGGTTTTGTATAAAAAATCCATTCATGTAAAACATCATATCTTATATCATGAGGTTTAGCACAATTCCAATCAAGTTAAACTTTTTTGAAGAGTTAGCAAAAATCCGGCAAGGAATGAAATTGATTCAGTTACGATATAAAATATCAAAGGTAACCAGCATCTGAAATTGAGTTTTGCAATTTCAGATTACATTGTCCAGACATTTTCCAAAAATAAACTTAATAATATCCGATACAACAACAATATGATATGAAAGTCGCAACAGTCACATGATGTGAGTAGCAATTTTGTTTCGGTGAAGTGATGGAGAATTGGTGAAATAAAAACGCGTTATTTTGCATATAGAGTTATATTCTTTAAAAATATCCCTAATTTTTTCAATGGGCAGTTGAATTGAGAGTAACCGTTTTATGTTTGATAATTTTTTAAATGCTAACTTTCTTCCTTTCTTCTGCTTCTTCCAAGGCAATTACAATGCCTCTCAAGAAGCACGATGTTTCCTTTGAACAGGTCAGAAGGACAATCGATCGTTACCGCAAATTGAATCGCGTTGATGGTGGATCCAGCGTTCCACTCCACGATTTCTCTGATGCACAGTACTACACAGAGATCACAATCGGTACACCAGCTCAGAAATTCAAAGTTTGCCCAGATACAGGCTCATCCAACCTCTGGGTTCCATCCAAGAAGTGCAACTCAATCGCTTGCTGGCTTCACACACGTTACGACTCCTCCAAGTCATCCACATACACAGCTGATGGCCGTGAAGTCGATATTCAATACGGATCTGGCTCCTGCAAGGGCTTCGCCTCCCAGGATGAAGTCCAGATTGCTGGCATCACAGACAAGATGACATTCGCTGAAATGAAGGAAGAAGGTTCCATCTCCTTCATCGCTGCTAAGTTCGATGGTATTCTTGGCCTTGCTTTCCAGAACATCTCCGTTCAGGGCATCCCACCGCCACTCCAGATCTTATACGAGCACGGCGAAATCGAAGACTACACAGTTGCCTTCAAGCTCGGCCGTACATCCGGCGAAGATGGTGAAATGACAATCGGTGGCTACAACCCAGATGCTTTCTCCGGCGAAATCACATGGTTCAACGTTGCTAAGGAACTCTGGTGGTACTTCGAGTTCGATGACGTCCTCGTTAACGATGTTTCTGCTGGTGTTTGCCCAGCTGGCGGAAAGTGCGCTGCTATCCTTGATACAGGCACATCTATGCTCATTGGCCCAGTCTCTGCTATGGATGTCATCATGAAGAACATCGATATCGACGCTCGTTGCCAGAACCTTGATCAGAACCCAACAGTCACCTTCGTCATCAACGGCGTCAAGTTCCCACTTACACCAGAAGATTACGTCATGAGAGTTAACGCAGGATCCTACGATCAGTGCCTTCCAGGTATGATGGGTGCTGACCTTGTCCCATTCTTCATCCTCGGTGATACATTCCTCCGCAAGTACTACTCAATCTACGACATGAACTACGTCAACGGCGTTGCTAATCCACGTCTCGGCCTTGCCCTTGCTAAGTGGTAATTTTTAAATTTTAGAATTTTATTATTGCCCGCAATTCAATATTTTTTTATAATTTTATAATTCATTTCAAAATGCAATTCATTTTGAGTTTTGACTGAGGAATGAGTCAATAAAATTATACAGTAAAACACAATTATAGTAATTTTTTCATTAAATTTGGAGTGGCTTTCAATGAAATCATCTCATCTCAAATAATTAGCACCATAATGCCACGCCAACGTTGAAAGAAGGGAAATCATATTTCAACATAGTGTAGATGAATGAAAAGAACGAAGTTAAGAGTTAAAATCATAATTTAAGTGAAATTAATCATATACTTGTATATATAACTGTTATATAGTGAATATATTTTTAATATATGTGTGTGTTGTAGGCATTTTTTCAATAGAGAGGTGCCGATCGCAAAATAATTATGAAATATGTACTACTTACTAATTTCTTTGATATTTTTATTCAGGTCAATAAAATGCATTTTTTAGATTTTTTTTAATGATGACGTTTTAAACCTCATAAATATATATAACATTGAAAATAATGGCCAAATTGCAATTATTCCATAAACGCAAACATCATATATTTTTGTTGAAATATCTACAAGCTTCAGGGTCTCGACTACGATGAAGGTGTCCGCTTCGGTCTCATCATCATCGGTGTATCTTCAATCCTCGTCATGATCTGGTCTTTCGTCCAAGATATGGTCATCAAGTGCATTGGTCTCAAGCTCTCTTACGCTCTCTCCCAGATCATCGAAGGTGTCTGCCTCATCCCAATATTCTTCATCCACAACAAGTGGGCTGCTCTCGGTCTCCTCACACCACTCGGTATCGCCTGCTCTGTATTCAACTCTGTCCCATACGCAATTGTCGGCATGTGCTCAAAGAACGAAGAGATGGGCACACTCATGGGAATCCTCAACATCTTCGTTGTCGTCGGTCAACAACTCGCTAACTGGATCATCGGATCAGGCATCGGTGCAGCAACAAATGGCAAGAAGGGCCCACTCCTCGGTTCCAGATGCGTATTCGCTTTCATCGCTGCTATCCTCTGCTTCTGGATCATCGTCCCAGAGCAGAAACCAGAATCTCTCGATTTCGACGAAGACAGAGAAGATCTCCCATCTGATGCAGTTAAACCATAAGGAGACTCAGAAGAACTTAGGCAATACCAAGAGGTGTTGCCTCTTTCTTGTTAAGAATAAATACTTTGATATTTTTTCGTTCTAATTGCAAAATATGTTTTTTTTTCTTCACCCTATCTTCATTTGATATTGATCAAACAATGAATATAATACAACACACACATATATTAAAAATATATTCACTATATAACAGTTATATATACAAGTATATGATTAATTTCACTTAAATTATGATTTTAACTCTTAACTTCGTTCTTTTCATTCATCTACACTATGTTGAGATATAATGTATCTCATTTTAAGTACGTTGGTATAATTCATAGCAGTAATTAGTAAGAATTGAGTTCAATGCATGTAAATTATTTTGCAACAGTGTGTATAAGAAATACTTAAATGATATATTTATTATTCAATGGTTCTTTGTATTCTGATATCTACTATTTATTGATTCTTGAAGAAAAATTTAATCAAATTATTTTAATGTAGATTAGAACTGAAGTTTCCTTGCAAATATGATTATCTATTTGATCTAGTTAAAATTAAAGTAACAATGACATGTGGAGAAAAAATTGAGAGAAATAGAAAAAAGAGCCAGTGGCGGGACTCGAACCCGCAACCCCAAGATTAAGAGTCTTATGCTCTATCCGGTTGAGCTACACAGGCTTTACAATTGCTTAAAATATAATTAAATATAAGATAAAATAAATAGGAAATTGAATAATTGTAATCCAATTCTATTCAATCGCGATTTCTGCCAATTGTTAATATAGAATTTAGTATGAATTAATAAATTACATGATATTTAAATTTGAATACTTACAATTTCTGAATATAGTTCGTAATTCAATTTTATGTATTTTATGCCAAAATGTTGCTCTCCAATTGTATTATCTATTATTATAACCTCTATTTTCTCAAAAAGTTTGTCACTTTTATTCAATTTATTTGAGCGTCCTCATATGGACGCGCATAGTCCGGGAAGATATAATGCTTTAGATCGCTTCCGTATTATTGAGAAAATAGGTACAGGTACATACGGAAGCGTATATAAAGCCGTCGACCTGGATCAAAAGCAAATTGTGGCATTAAAGGTGATGAAATCTTTCAATCAAAAGGAGAGCGTCCCTCTCTCTTTTTATCGTGAACTCAATGTCCTGCAAACTGTTTCGCATGACAACATTGTCTCCTACAAAGGCGTATGGAGATATCCGGATGAAATCTGTCTCGCCTTAGAATACTGCGAGACTGACCTTCAAAAACAACTATCCTGTCAACCTCTTCTTCAACCTTCCCAGGTTAAGTCCCTTATGTGTCAACTTCTCTCAGGTCTTGCAGAGCTCCACTCTGCAGGATTTGTCCACCGTGATGTTAAGCCTGCCAACATCCTCATAAAAGGCGGCAAAACCCTAAAAATCACAGACTTTGGTCTATCACGGAAACTTAATTCGAAACATCTCACATCAAAGGTGTCATCGCTCGCATACCGTGCGCCCGAACTGATACTTGGATCAAACAATTACAATTACTCCATCGACATCTGGTCAGCGGGCGTTATTTTTTACGAGCTATGCACCGGTGAAAAATTCCCATCCGCTTGTAGCGATCTTTCTCAATTGGATAAGATCTTTAGAGTTACAGGAACCCCTTCCCCGTCTTCAGATGATGAAAAATCGCCCGAACCAACGGATGGCGATATTCTCTGTCAACTTCCCAACTGGCGTCTTGCTTCTATGCTCCATATTTATCCTAGAACGCTCGAGCAGCTTCTTACCGATAAATTACCTCAGGAGCTTGCAGATGCCGTTGAAATAATCACATCTATGCTCAGCTTGAACCCAAGCAAGAGGCCTAGCGCCTTAGAGCTATTGCGGAATCCTTTCTTCTCCATTTCGGAGAAGATTACTCCATTAGCACTCCCGGAAACGAAATCAATTGGAGAACGTGTTTCACCAATTCGCGCGCCGCTCATCAGACCGACGCCCGTTATCCTCGAGTGTAACTGACTTCGTGTCATTTGCCTTCGTGGCCCTAGTGCAAAATTTTTGGTGCTGCTCGCTTTTCAGACTTCGTGTCTCAGCGTTTATATGCAGCATCAACCGCTGGTCGAGCACCAGCGCAGACTTCTTGTCTTTACCCTTTTTTCTGTTTGTTATTTTAAAATTATTTTTTATTTATTACTTTTAAGATATCATTCTTTAATACAAATACAAATTCTGATTAAGATCTTTATCTTTTCCCCTTATTATTAAATTCAAATGCTTAAATTCAAAATATCTCATTTTAATATTTTTAAAGGAAACTAAAATTCAAGCGTATTTACATCAAGTCTATTTTTGTTACATTGCAAAAGTAATTGATTGCAATTTCCACATATTTTTATGAAGAAATCCTTTATCATTATTACTTTGCAAAATAATCTGCCTATTATTGCAATAATGTTTTAATACAGGGTATGCTTACGCCCATTTGGATTCCTGAGGCCCCACGTGCATTTTCTCACATCGATGATAGGGCATTCTATTTTTAGGAGTCACTATCTTGCTATCAGAAAAACTTAATCGGAAAATGTCTATAGTAATATGTACTTACATAGACTAATGAGTACAGAGTCATCAAAATTTATGTTGAAGTTGAAGGCAATGTGGCATGAGAGTAACTACAGTCTTAAGATAAAAGAGAATGAAAATTAAAATAAAGAGTCCTTTTATTCATATTAAAATAAATGGAGTTAGAAACAATAAATTCAAATTAAAACAAGATGATGTTTGACGACATGATGGTTTGTATTGTGGAAGTTGAATCCACAAATCAACAATTAGTACAAAATTCTGTTTTTGTTGATAAATAGGTCCTGGAATATGAGATCCATATGATCTTGCATAAGTTCCTATACTATAAAAAATCCATATTCTGTACCTGTATAATCTAGACAATTGTATTGATATGATCTAGCTAATCCAGTAAAATAAAGCCAATCATCCCCTTTAACTTTAGTATATTTTCTTGGTTCATCAGAAAGAAGAGATGTATTTTGTTTCCATATTTGGTATGTACTTATTTGTTTGTATTCTAGAAGAAGAGTTATATAATGATAATTATTTAAAACAGAGTCATAGTCATATAAGCCAATGATGGAATATTTTAAATCATCGTCTGTATTATTACATGTGATATTTTCTGTAAAGAAGTTATAATTTGTTGAATTATGATGCATGAGTAAAATCCAATTAGATCCATATGCAAACTTCGTTTTCTGTAAACCAATTGAATGTATTCCATCATGAGAATAGTCAACGCTATTATTATGGTAATTGCTTATTTAACGAAGTTAATCCGATAACCTCAATTAAATGTACTCAAAATTTAAGATTAAAATGTAAATAATTGAAATTTCAACCAGAATCATTACAACAACAAAGCATTCTCTTTTAATCGTAAAACATATTTTTAAGTATATTTCGGTAAACTGCAGATGCTTATGCATTACTTTATCGCTAGCTTTGAATGATTCACAACAAAAACTTATTTTGCTTCATGATATGGCAAGGAAATCATTTTGATGTTGGTAGATATATATAAGTTATTGAGGAATTTCAGCAATAATATTTGTTTTGTATCGAATAAAGCCATGTTTGGAAGAAGAAATCATTTTGATGTTGGTAGAACATAAAATCATATCAAATTGCGTATGTGTGATTTATATAAGTATCAACAAAGGATTAGTATTAATTTATATTTCTGGAATGAACCAATTCATTTGAGATTATTCACTTTAATTACCCTAAAGTTTTTGTTATTGGAATCTGACACGCCCGTAAATTTTTATAAAAGCTCATTAATACAGCTCCCTGATTGGAGACATTCTTTGTGACATATACCATATACTTATGTAGGCACTAGAGAATCTACCATATGATTTTAGTAGTCTACTAATGACATTCATAGTGCAATTAGACAAAATTTATTTTGCTTGTAAAACCACACTACATGAAGATCCAAACCCTTATAAAACCCATTATATTACTGGTACATAGTAGTATATATTGCTGAGGTTGAAATCTAAATCTAAAAAGTTATCAAGATATCAAACTAATGTAATTGGCCTAGTCTATTCAATTACAGATATATTAATATATATGATCCGGTGAATTGATTTATACATAATGACATGATATATAAAAAAATTATAATATTTTAAAATTAGAGTTAAAATTTCACAAATCTACATGCAAATGGCTAGAAATGTTATGCATATATCAATCTCGGTTGTGATTTTACTATATAGGAAAATATGTCGGAGTAATGATTCAAACTTTCAAAGTAATGCTTTATTTGAACAATATGAATTGAAATTCATTTTGATAAGTCAGGCTATGAATGATAATGATATAATAACAGTTTAAAAAAAGATAATATTATAAATTTTGAAAAGATTGATATTTTTTATTTAATTTGGAATATTCTTAATTCCAATTGATGTAGAATGTGGTATCATGTCAATTTTTGAAATTCGGCTAATTTTGGAAAGACATTTTGAATTGGGTATCAATTGTTAAAATTAAGCTTGGTTATTAATGTAAGTCAAATGCAAAATAAGGGAGAAGACAATATTTGTAATTAAATTTAACAAATTCACAATTTGAAGAATATCAATATAATTTGAAAAAATTGTTAATTTCATAGGCAACAAGATATCTATTGACACTGCATATAATTGTGAATATATTGTTCATTTAAAAATTGATAGAGATTTAAAAACTACATGCGTAAAATGAAAACTGATGATAAATGATATAAACTAATATGATTTTATAAAATTGAGTGTTTTGATAAACTAAATAGATGTAGAATTCAATAATTATTGAAAATATTAAGATTTTTAAAGATAAATACAAATCATATGGTAAATTTGTGCTTAAGGGATTTGTGAATAAGGTATATTGTTTATGTACTAATTATAGGTATGGACAGGCAAGAAAATAAAGAGATTGTATAATGAGAATGTGATTGCAAAAGTTTGACCGACAAGAGTGTAATATGCACTCCTGTCGGTCACAATGTGTCATTCAGGGAGACATTGCCACTGCATGTCTCCCAGAATGAGACAATTTGTTGCAATCAGAATGTGATTGCAAAAGTTTGACCGACAAGAGTGTAATATGCACTCCTGTCGGTCACAATGTGTCATTCAGGGAGACATTGCCACTGCATGTCTCCCAGAATGAGACAATTTGTTGCAATCAGAATGTGATTGCAAAAGTTTGACCGACAAGAGTGTAATATGCACTCCTGTCGGTCACAATGTGTCATTCAGGGAGACATTGCCACTGCATGTCTCCCAGAATGAGACAATTTGTTGCAATCAGAATGTGATTGCAAAAGTTTGACCGACAAGAGTGTAATATGCACTCCTGTCGGTCACAATGTGTCATTCGGGAGACATTGCCACTGCATGTCTCCCAGAATGAGACAATTTGTTGCAATCAGAATGTGATTGCAAAAGTTTGACCGACAAGAGTGTAATATGCACTCTGTCGGTCACAATGTGTCATTCAGGGAGACATTGCCACTGCATGTCTCCCAGAATGAGACAATTTGTTGCAATCAGAATGTGATTGCAAAAGTTTGACCGACAAGAGTGTAATATGCACTCCTGTCGGTCACAATGTGTCATTCGGGAGACATTGCCACTGCATGTCTCCCAGAATGAGACAATTTGTTGCAATCAGAATGTGATTGCAAAAGTTTGACGACAAGAGTGTAATATGCACTCCTGTCGGTCACAATGTGTCATTCAGGGAGACATTGCCACTGCATGTCTCCCAGAATGAGACAATTTGTTGCAATCAGAATGTGATTGCAAAAGTTTGACCGACAAGAGTGTAATATGCACTCCTGTCGGTCACAATGTGTCATTCAGGGAGACATTGCCACTGCATGTCTCCCAGAATGAGACAATTTGTTGCAATCAGAATGTGATTGCAAAAGTTTGACCGACAAGAGTGTAATATGCACTCCTGTCGGTCACAATGTGTCATTCAGGGAGACATTGCCACTGCATGTCTCCCAGAATGAGACAATTTGTTGCAATCAGAATGTGATTGCAAAAGTTTGACCGACAAGAGTGTAATATGCACTCCTGTCGGTCACAATGTGTCATTCAGGGAGACATTGCCACTGCATGTCTCCCAGAATGAGACAATTTGTTGCAATCAGAATGTGATTGCAAAAGTTTGACCGACAAGAGTGTAATATGCACTCCTGTCGGTCACAATGTGTCATTCAGGGAGACATTGCCACTGCATGTCTCCCAGAATGAGACAATTTGTTGCAATCAGAATGTGATTGCAAAAGTTTGACCGACAAGAGTGTAATATGCACTCCTGTCGGTCACAATGTGTCATTCAGGGAGACATTGCCACTGCATGTCTCCCAGAATGAGACAATTTGTTGCAATCAGAATGTGATTGCAAAAGTTTGACCGACAAGAGTGTAATATGCACTCCTGTCGGTCACAATGTGTCATTCAGGGAGACATTGCCACTGCATGTCTCCCAGAATGAGACAATTTGTTGCAATCAGAATGTGATTGCAAAAGTTTGACCGACAAGAGTGTAATATGCACTCCTGTCGGTCACAATGTGTCATTCAGGGAGACATTGCCACTGCATGTCTCCCAGAATGAGACAATTTGTTGCAATCAGAATGTGATTGCAAAGTTTGACCGACAAGAGTGTAATATGCACTCCTGTCGGTCACAATGTGTCATTCAGGGAGACATTGCCACTGCATGTCTCCCAGAATGAGACAATTTGTTGCAATCAGAATGTGATTGCAAAAGTTTGACCGACAAGAGTGTAATATGCACTCCTGTCGGTCACAATGTGTCATTCAGGGAGACATTGCCACTGCATGTCTCCCAGAATGAGACAATTTGTTGCAATCAGAATGTGATTGCAAAAGTTTGACCGACAAGAGTGTAATATGCACTCCTGTCGGTCAC